CCTTCCCAACAGCGCATGCAAACAGATCCCCCGGCTGGTGTCTCCGCCTCTCCCGTCGCCGATAATGTCATGACCTGGTAAGCTGCCTGCCTGCCTGCCTGCCTGCCTGCCTGTCGATCATGTCTTCTTTCTCATCTATTCCCCCTTTCCCGAGCAGAGCATATATGGCATATGCACCTCTGCTTTTGCTTCTCTAATCTCGGTCTAACTCGATATATCTTCCTTCTTCCCCCCCCCGCGCGCTTGCCTAGGAATGCCGTCATCATTGGACCTGCAGACACCCCCTTCGAAGATGGAACTTTCCGCCTGGTCATGCACTTCGAGGAACAATACCCAAACAAGCCCCCCGGCGTCAAGTTTGTCAGCCAGATGTTCCATCCAAACGTCTACGGCACTGGCGAGCTCTGCTTGGACATCCTGCAAAACCGCTGGAGTCCCACGTATGACGTGGCCGCCATCCTCACCAGCATCCAGAGGTACGATAGCCTATCTCTACAGTAACATGGGCCTGCTTGTCATTTGTCTTGTCGTTTGTCTGTCTGTCATTTTTGTCATTTGTCATTTATCTGTTTGTTGAATGTGGAAAATTCACTTGCTCACTACATGTTTTGCATCTGCTCCTCCCACGCAACCAGTCTGCTCAACGACCCAAACACATCCTCGCCCGCCAACGTGGAGGCTTCCAACCTCTACAAGGACAACCGCAGAGAATACACAAAACGCGTCCGGGAAACCGTTGAAAAGAGCTGGGAGGACTAGGCGCTATCCCTATCAATATATATATATATAAAAAAGACTTCTGGCCATTTTCGATCTTCGATGCACGTCTCCTCTCCTTCTTGGCACAGTTTGTATGTCATTTTTTCCTCCAACGATTCACGATACACGGAGTACCGGGCATATTCGGCCCCTAACGCTCCTCTTCATGCTCAATCTTGTTTTGTTCTCGTTTCTTGCTTGACTGTTGGTGGCTCTTCTATTTCTATTCCTGACCCTTGTTCCTTTATACTCTTGATTCCATAGCATGGGGTTCTGGCGCTGTTTTTCCAGGCATAACTTAGCGTTCCTAATAATCCTTTTTTCTTCTCTTTCTTCAACTTATATAGTTTGACTGGCAAATAAATGTAACAACTTTTTCCATTTGATTCCTTGCCTCCTTGTATACTCCGCACGACAGATCTTGACTCCAAGATAATGCGATGGAAAGGGTACGAATCGGTGGCCAATCGAGCTCATTCTCAGTAGCAATGATTTGTTCGCATGTATTTCCATGGATTATTAGTTAAACTGGTTGCTCTAATTCCGCACCCCCAAAACTGGCTTGAGCAGAATTCCATAATATCCACCCCACCATTTCCAGATGCCCTATCTCTACCCTGAACAGCAGCCAAGGTTGGGGGGGCTGTCCATGCGTTGTGAGCGAGTTACTTTTCCTTCCCAGCCTCTGGAGCGTTGTGCGGAGTTGCAGGGCGAATAATCATTGTATAACCAATTAGTAGGTTTGTTAAATTATTTACTTTAATCTCACCCCCACTGAAACGTGTTTCAGCGTGTTCATTTAAAAAAAAATAAAAATAAAAATAAAAAATTATGTGTGCCAGGCCATGGACTAATAGAAGAAGGTTCCCTATTATATTATCTGACTTTCTTCTGCTCGGTTAAGGTCAGTTTTAGTTATTATGTGCAGTTGTCTATAGGAAAAGTTCCCACCCTCGGCTCAGCCCCAAAGAGCACACAGAAAGCAACTTTACATCATTCCATCTACAACATCCGTTCAAATCAACCATCGATCGCTATTAGTTGGTGAATTCCTTAATATAGTACACTACATGCCCATCCACTCCTCCCCCCCCCACACCATCATTCTCCTTGAAATAAATCATCTTACAACCATCCCGTCCCTGGGGAGCAGTAGCCACGTTGTATCCCACCCCCAAGTTTAATCCCAGCTCCCTTTTCAGCCCAACGCGTCAACACACCAAACAACCAACCGTGACCCGCGATTGCTCGTGAAATTTCCAACACTTATCCTCTCTCCCCACCCCCTCCTCCTCCTCCTTCGTTCACCCTCTCACTCGACCCTCCACGGACTCTCCATTCCATAGCCCTACCGCCGGGGGAATACACTTATAGCCTGCCCTTCGTGGGCTCAGTGCATTTTCTGCTTCTTGGTCCCCGTCGAGGGTACCAGTGACTGGCACAGTGACGGTGACGGTGACGGTGACGGTGACGGTGACGGTGACCCCCCCCAACCTGGCCGTGTGCAGAGGAGCAACCATGGCGTATGTATCTTCAACTCTTCCCTCGAATATCCTAATACATACATACGATAGCTTCCACTCCGGAGATGTTGTGATCCTGGACAGCAGCTGACGTCTACACCCGCAGTTCAAGCGGGTCGGGCAGTAGTACCAACACCATCAAAGGTTAATATCCTTCTCTCTCTCTCTCTCTCTCTCTCTCTTCTGTCCTATTCCTTTCCTGTTTTTGAAACGGATACTGATTCATGGTGTATAGTTGTTGCCAGATTCCGACCCCAAAATAAGGTCGAACTCGCCAGTGGGGGAGAGCCCATTGTCGAGTTCGAGGGCGATGACACATGCAAGATCAACGTATGTCTACCACCACCTTTCCTCCCTTTTTTTTTTTTTTGATATTAAATTTCATTTTTACGAGATTCACCCCTCTAACCAACCGGTAAAATAGTCAAAGGAGGCCGCAGGGGCCTTCACCTTCGACCGCGTTTTTGATATGGACTCCCAACAGCAGGATGTGTTCGATTTCTCCATCCGCTCCACTGTCGACGACATCCTCAATGGCTACAACGGTACTGTCTTCGCCTACGGTCAAACCGGTGCGGGAAAGTCCTATACGATGATGGGTTCAGATATCGATGACGAGGCGGGGAAGGGTATTATCCCACGTATTGTTGAGCAGATGTTCGCTAGCATCCTTGCCAGTCCCGGGAATATTGAATACACAGTCCGTGTCAGCTACATGGAAATCTACATGGAGCGCATCAGAGATCTCTTGGTGCCGCATAACGATAACCTCCCTGTTCACGAAGAGAAGTCGCGCGGTGTCTATGTCAAGGGCCTGCTGGAAATTTACGTCTCGAGCGTGCAGGAGGTTTACGAAGTTATGCGCAGGGGTGGTGCCGCGAGGGCCGTCTCTGCAACGAACATGAACCAGGAATCTTCGCGATCACACTCAATTTTCGTCATTACTGTAACCCAGAAGAACGTGGAGACCGGTTCTGCCAAGAGTGGTCAGCTGTTCCTGGTCGACCTGGCTGGCAGTGAGAAGGTGGGAAAGACTGGCGCAAGCGGCCAAACCCTGGAAGAAGCCAAGAAGATCAACAAGAGTTTAAGTGCCCTTGGGATGGTTATCAATTCGTTAACGGACGGCAAATCCACACATATCCCCTACCGGGATTCGAAACTTACCCGGATTCTGCAGGAGAGTTTGGGAGGGAACTCACGCACCACTTTGATAATTAACTGCTCTCCCAGCAGCTATAACGATGCAGAGACGCTCAGTACACTTCGCTTTGGTGTGCGAGCCAAGGCCATCAAGAACAAGGCAAAGATTAACGCTGAGCTGAGTCCTGCGGAGCTGAAGATGTTGCTTAAAAAGGCACAGATGCAGGTTGTCACTTTTGAGACTTATATTAATGCCCTGGAATCGGAAGTTCAACTTTGGCGAGCTGGGGAGTCGGTACCCAAGGAGCGGTGGACGCCAGCAAGGACTGCTGAGGGACTGAGTGGCGTCAAGGCCGAAGCACGGGGAACTCCGCGTTCGGGGACCCCATCTCGTCCACAGGCGGATATCTCAAAATCAGAGACTCCTAGCCGGCCCGATTCGAGAATGGGCGAACGCTCCAGCACCCCCAGCATCGTTCTCGAGAAGGATGAGCGCGAGGAATTTCTGCGACGGGAAAACGAACTCCAGGATCAACTTACTGAAAAAGAAACACAAATTACCAATACCGAGAAGGATCTGAAAGAAAAGAAGGAGGAGCTGAAGCTCCTCAAGGAAAACACAATACGCACGGGAAAAGATAATGAGAAGCTTAACACAGAGGTCAGTGAGCTTCGCATGCAACTAGAGAAGGTCTCGTATGAGAGTAAGGAAGCGGGTATCACCATAGATACTCTGAAGGAGGCCAATCTTGAACTCACAGCCGAACTCGATGAGTTGAAGCAGCAGCTTCTTGACGTGAAGATGAGTGCCAAGCAAACTAGCGCAGCTTTGGATGAGAAGGACAAGAAGAAGGCCGAACGCATGGCGAAGATGATGGCTGGGTTTGACCTGGGGACGAACTTGTTCTCAGACAACGAGCGGAAAATCCAGAAGCTGGTTGATCGGGTTGATGCGCTGCAGGCGTCCAACGAGGCCGGAGAGGCCATAGCGGCCGATGACCTCGCGGAACTCAGGACCAGTCTTATCGAAGCGCAGGGATTTGTTCGACAGGCGGAGCTGACTGTTAACGACCGGAGCATCTACCGGGAGTTGCCGGACAACAAACGGGTGGAGCTTGAGGACCGTATTGCTGATTTGCAACGCCAGTATGAGGCAGTGCTGGAGAATGGGCTGAGCAAGGCGGACGTGGAAGACCTTAAGACCCGCCTTGGCGAGGCATATAAGGGACGGGTGGAACATGAGTCGAACATGATCGAAGAGCTTCGGAGCGAACTGACGCAACGAGGAGATGAGCTCGAGCGCTTAAGACAGACTGTTGCCGAGTTACAGTCCCGCGCTCAAACCAACGGTGCAGCGGTCAATGGCGCACCAGCAATCAATAGCAAGACGCTCCAGCAGCAAATTGCGGATTTCGACATCATGAAGAAGTCGCTAATGCGCGATTTGCAAAACCGGTGTGAGCGGGTGGTTGAGCTGGAGATCTCTCTGGATGAGACCCGCGAGCAATACAAGAACGTGCTGCAGTCGTCGAACAACAGGGCACAGCAGAAGAAGATGGCGTTCCTGGAGCGCAATCTGGAGCAGCTAACACATGTACAGCGGCAGCTCGTGGAGCAGAACGGCAGTCTCAAACGCGAGGTGGCGATTGCGGAGCGCAAACTCCTCGCACGCAATGAGCGGATTGAGAGTCTGGAGGCACTGTTGCAGGATTCTCAGGAGAAACTCACGGCTGCTAATCATCGGTATGCACCCATATAACTTTTGATCCATTTCCCGTTCCAGTTCGCTCATGCTAACTTTACCTTTCTTCCTCTTAAACCAGCTTCGAAGCCCAACTCACAGCCGTCAAGGAGCGCCTAGAAGCCGCCAAGGCCGGGTCAACGCGGGGACTTCCCTCCTCCGACTCTGCGGGATTCAGCTTCGGCGGGTCACGGATAGCAAAGCCCCTCCGTGGTGGCGGCACCACGGTCTCGAATGGTGGAGTTGTCAACCCTACACTCTCCGGTTTGCAGTTGCAGGAGAACTCGTCTGGGTCTGGCCCAGCCAATGCGAAACGGTCCAGCTGGTTTTTCGATCGGCGATGATGGGTGCATGCGAGGAGCTGTTGCGGCTACCGCTGCGTGTGTTTTCGTTTGATTTGAATGGTGAGGAGGAGGAGGAGGAGGAGGATGACGAACCAAGTGCAGTGATCCTCCAGTCGGTTTTTCTCGTGGTTTATGTTATATTGCAGCTGGCCGTATCGTCGTTGTCGTCATCGCCAAGGTCGAGGACGGGAGGCCGGATGTCGGAGGGCCCGTATTTTGAATTTCCTAATGAATTTTATGTTGCGGAGGTGGGGGAAGCTGTCCCTCTTGCTCTTACTATTACCATTTCCTTTGCGTTCGCCTTTGTTTCTGCCGTTGCCTCTGGCTTTGGTTGCGCGAAAGATTGTTTCATTGTAGATAGATTCATCGGGAGTAATTTTAACCCCCCTCCCACCCTTTCTCTTTCTTCTTCTCCTCTCACGCTGTGGTCGTTTTTGGATTCTATTTTTGTCTTTTTGGCTCATGTCATGTCCCAGCACTACTTTCACACTCCTATCTCCCGAAACCTGATGATTTTCTTTTCATATCAAATGCTGAACCTTTGTATTCCCCGTTCCCTTTCCCGATCTCCAACCTCTCTCATCAGTATTGTTCAGAATAGATATATACGTCGGAGCGGAGGTGTAGGTTGCTTTGGTCCAGCTGAATGCCTAGCTTAAGTAGACTCACTGGCAGGTTTTGGTTATATAATACATCTTTGGCATCTCCTGAATCACTCCATCCAGATCTTTGTGGATAGTTACCGGCATTGAGTCTGTATTGAAGAGACACATGATAATTATTCCCCTGCAAAATTTCCCCTGCCCCTGAACCCAAGTTTATTTTATCATGTGGCACACTTTAACTAAAACTAACTATATAAATAACTAGGTAACTAATGTAAACCACCATCTAGTTGATTAGTTTTGCCATGACGACTGGGATATCAAAGTAAATTAAGCAACAACTAATAGCTACCTCACCTAATTATATTATAAATTATTCTCTGTATGCTGTGAGTCTGTATGAATATTAATTCTAGCTTATCAGTTATTTATTTATTCTTATTGATTGTAATTTTTCAGTTATACAGGAGCTTATTCTCATATCAGAATGCTTAATATAGTTTTTTTTTTAATGACAATCAATCATGATGATAAAAATCTGTTGGAAAGGTGTGCTTACGTTGCACCTAGTATTCTGGTTACCTCGGTAACCAGGCCCCCGTGCAACCTCGTATTCCCATCATCCATGTCACGTGCATCTGTCTATTTAATAGCCTAGCTAGTTCGCTCAGACTCAGGGTAATGAATGACAAGGTAGTTATCGGTCCTCTAAGAGGTTATGAGACCCTCTTGGAATTAGAGATCTTCCGCTGCTGAGATCGTGAAGAAAGACACTTGAAAAGAAGTTCTATCTTTTCATAAGCTTATAATCCTGGAATTGGACGACATCGATGGTTAATCTGCGCTCAGGAGGAACGCCAGATTTGACGAAAGAATACGCGGCCAGAACGAGACGAAACCGAAGGGATAGGACCCCGGAGAATAGGACTCCAGAGCCCGCAGGTTCACTGCCTACACAGAACACAGATAGTAGGAGTGCGCCTGGAGCGTTTGAGACAAGACAAAACGATTCTGGAGGAATCAGACGAGTCTAATAACGCATACGACGACCTGGTTAACAAAATGCCGGAGAACACGGATGGCCAAAGTGGCCAGGTATCAGGAGTTAGCGAGCAAACCCTGATGAAACGAGAGATCGCAAAACTTCAGCGAGAAGTTGAAAGGATGAGAGCTAGCAGGGAGGCACTCCCTGCCAATGCTAGCAGCGATGAAATGAGTGAAGATCTTGCGAACTACCTACAGAAGAAAGGCAGGACTACCACCACAATCAAGATCTTGGCCGAATTTAGGGAGCAAGTGAGGAACATCAAGAAACCTGTCATCCTGACTGGTTCTGCGAACTATCCCATGTGGAGGGAAGAGATTCTACTGGCCGCTAAGCAGTCTGAAACTGATGATATCCTTGAGGAGAAGCAATTTGCCCCTGAGGACGGTGCCAGTACGGATATGCAACGTTTTTGGACTGAAAGGAATGTATGGCTCTATAACCATATGTGTGGTCTGCAATCTCACCTCAGGCGAGGTCTCATTTTACGATACCCTCAGATCGTCAGTTGTCGGCGTATACTCTATGGACGATCATAGAAGAGAACTTTTCAGAGAGGCCTGCAGTCCGCAGGAGCCGTCTTTTTGAGGAGCTGATTAGCTTTGACAGCTAAGTCAAAAGGCTCAGATAGAGCATTTATTGCACGCCCAATCGCCATTCTGTCCGAATATACCAGTTTGGGGTATAAGATTGAAGAATTTGTGCTTTTCGACCGTTTGTTAACTGGTGTTCAGTGCTGGATGGGCATCATTCATCAGAGATAGGATGGACCACGCCGCGAAAGATACCAACGCCCAAGATATTGAGACGGATTTCATGGGACTGTGTCGAGATATTCTATCGCACCTGCCAGCCGCTGGACAGAACACTGCCGTGACGGATATGAAAAATCCTGCGAATAATGCCCAAGATTCATCGAAAAAGAATAAGAGTAAGGATAAGGATTTGGGGCTTAAAGACAAAGGCAAAAATAAGGAGTCCAAGCAGGGTAGTGGCAACAATACAAATAAGACATGCCACAAGGCAGGACATCTCAAGGCTGACTGTTGGACGAAATATCCGGAAAAACGCCCTGCGGACCGTAAGGGGAAGGATAAGGATAGAGACAAGGATAAGGATATTGGCAACGCTGCTCTGGTCCAAACGCTGTGGAGCAAGTATTCTGTGCCAAAGATACGGCGTATTCCAGTGGTAAGGTGGTAGAGGAAACCTGGGTCCTAGACTCTGGATCAGGAGCCCACGCCACGCCTCTGAAGGATATTGTCGAGGTTACGCCCCAAAAATCTAATGTCATGTTGGAGATGGCGGACGGATCTACGGCCCCAGTAGCGGCTGTAGGGAGGGTGAGCATCCCAACCGAAGAATCGAATATCCAACTGGATGACGTCCGTTAGGTCCCGAAGCTGGAGGTCAACCTAATGAGCTTCGGCAAACTCGCACGCAAAGGTTATACTTTCAAACAGTTGGCGTACAGCAATAATCATTCAACCTTGCTGACGTCTCCTGGCAGGATGACAAGTTTAACAGCGTATTTAAATAACAAAAATATATACGTGGTGGAAAAGCCGCCAGCATTGAGAGATTTGGTCTGTTTTGTAATGCCAAACGGTGATTTTGAACCCGCGTACGTTTTGCGGTCGAATTACAATCCCCTATTGGAGCTATCCAAGGGCGACATCAAGATTTTGGAATACACAATGGTGCAGTGGCATCAAAAGGCTGGGACACCTAAACCCAGCGGATATATCAAGATTGGCAGCGGATCCTAGACTAGGGATGCAGATAAGCCTGTTTACCTACGCCTAGATTGAAGCCGTGACATAATACTAAGATCCATTACTTTTCCTGCCCCTTTTAAAGCAGGTTTTAGGTGAAAAACCTCTAAGAGAATCTTTATTTACTTTTGTTTTCAATCCCCAAGAAGACCACGAGCATGTCGGAAGCTATCGAAGGAACTGGTGGTTCATGGAGGTCAGACTGGGACAACATGACTCAAGTGGAGGGAGAGATGAGACCAAGAGAGGCTATATCTATGGAACTGTTTTTTGCATCGATGGAGAAGGGCCCCAGACGAGTGTATCAAGAGATTTCTGGCCTTATGCATGGAGCTAGGAACCACATAGGAAGACTCCAACTGGAGCGAGACAATCAGCAAAGACAAATGAATGATTTGGACCAGCAGGTGGACAGTCTGATAGAGGAACGGAACGCCCTACAGCAGACTGTGAACTCCTTGGCCTCACAAATCAGACTGGTGGACACACAGCGGGTGCAACGATCGGCAAAGCTTGATGATCCCAAGCACCTCACTGATGGGAAAGAACCAATATTTGAGAACTGGCTCTCAAGAATGAAACGCAAGCTGGCTGTCAATGCTACCACTTTCCAACGGATGAAAGCTGTATCGCCTATATTGAAAACTGAACAGATGGTGAATCTGCAAGGCACCAGGCTCCAAGAATGAGAGAAGACCATCCTGAGAAGTTCGAAACAGCAAAGGAAGTGTTTGTGTACCTTCATGGAATATATGAGGATGTCAACAAGCTGGAGAATGCAAAGATGGAGTACCAACGGCTGGTAATGAGAAATGGAGATGACTACCACATATTTGCAACCAAGTTCTTGCATTTGGCTGGGGTAGCTCAATTTCAAAATGAAGATTATAAAGCAGACTTCCTCCATAAGCTCTCCTTTGACCTGCAACGCATGGTTGCAGCAGCCTGTGCCAATTGCATCACCTTTCGTGAGGTTCGGGATATCTGCGCCCGGACTGCTCACTATCTCAAGAGCATGCCCAGCTCAAACAACCGACGACCGCAAAATACTGGGAATCCACTTTGCCATTCTGCAAGAGGTGTGTGCAAGCAAAAATGACCCGTCTGCCTTTCACCCCAATGACCAGAGCCGTCAAACCGGCAATGAGATCTTTCGTGGACCTTGCAGGTGGGGGTAAGACGTTATACGATGAAGATAACCTACCTACCGAAGGATGCGCAAGATACTGGATAGGGATTGCGGACAACGCCACCCGTTTTAGGTGGATTATCCTGATTGCCACGCCACGCCGGCGCTTATGAACTTCATTGGCATGATCGAGGCGACATCTCAACGGCCCTTAGGGACTCTGCATTGGGATGGCGGAGGAGAGTTCTAAAGTGATGATCTGAAGGTATTTTGCAAGAATAGGGGGATGGTGTATGAAGTGACTACCCCGGATACGCCTCAATCAAATGGCCCCGCAGAACGTGCGAATCGGTTAGTGTTGAATAAGACAAGGAGTCTCCTATTTGATAGTAGGCTTGCCAGAGAGTTTTGGGGTGAAGCGATGCAGGCGGCCGTAATGATGATAAATACGTCTCCTACATCAACGAAGAATTTTGGCTGCAAAGATGGCAGTCCATTGACACCTTTCGAAGCCTGGACAGGGATCGAACCGTCAGTTCATTAGATCCGCTGGTGGGGGTGCAAGGTTTATAAGAAGGACCTAAAAGTGACGAATAAGCTCGCGGACAGGACAGATGGCAAGGAGTAGCGATTGGTGGGTTACAGGAGAAGATGTTGAACTGCCAAAGGAATTGGATGTTGTTGACCCCCTGAATGGCTAGCACCACTATCTGCTAGGACGACTAGCGAAGGATAAACCAGAGGTTTTGAAGATGTTGATTAATGGCGACCTGGAGGATGCCATTGATCCGGCCTACCTGCTCGATGAGACGGAGCTAGTTGAGAATAATGAATCTGAGATGCCTGCCAGTGACACCGATCCTGTCCTGAGCACGTTTACGGATCGTCCGAATGGCCTGGCGGCGGCGAAAAAGAGCCTAGATTGGAACCACTGGCTCGAAGCGATGAGGAAAGAAGTTGAGATGTTCAAGAATAAGAAGACGTGCGTTGTCGTTGAGAAGATGCCTGAGATGGATATCTTGACAGGCAAATGGGTGTTTGACCGTAAGTTGAATAATAGGGGTGAGACGATCCGTTTCAGGGCCCGCTGGGTGGTTAGTGGGTTCCTGCAGCAGCAGGGCGTCCACTACTCCAAATCTTATGCCGCAGTCGTCTCAGGGCCTACGACCCGCTCCCTATTCGCTATATCGACTGCCAGAGGTTGGAAGTCGAAGTCGATCGACTACGTGTCGGCATTTTTGAATGGCGTACTGCCGCAGTATGAAATGGTCTATATGCAGTTGGCTACGGGCATTACACATGGAAGGGGGGGACTAGTTGGCCTCCTTAGGCAGAGCTTGTATGGCATGAAGCAAGTTGCAAGGACCTGGTATTTTGTTGCGACAGAGCACCTCACATCGCTGGGGTTTAAGATTTCAAAATACGACGGAGGATTCCTATTTCATCCTATCCGCAAGATTTACCTGACGCTGCATGTCGACGATTGCAGGGTTACAGGCCCCAAGAGGCGAATTTAGATTGGGTGTTGGGTGAGATACGGAAGAAATTTGAGGCAAAAGATGTCGAAGAAGACAAGCCCTATCTTGGGATGGAGGTCAAACGCAGGCCTAATGGTGATTTGGCAGTCTCACAGATCCTCTATATTGAAGAGATCCTTGAAAATTTTGGGATAGATAAGGTTAACCCCGCTAGCACACCTATGGCGGCGGGCATACGGCTTAAATTTGCTCCTGAGGGGGACGCCGGATTGGAAGACGAGTTTACGGCTACGAGGTATCGTCAGGGGCTCGGATCACTCCAATATCTCGTATCAAGCACGAGGCCAGATTTGGCGTCCGCCGTGAATTATTTATCAAGGTTCAATTCGCGCCCGAATAAAGACTACTGGGCAGTCCTGAAGCACGTCCTTCACTACGTAAAGAAGACGAAGGCTCTGGGGTGTAATGAGAATAGGGATTAGGGGAATAATTACATGGTTGCTTTGCAAAGTTACAGTGCAGATGCGTAATAGAGCTTTTCGTAATAGGGAAACTAGCATCTGATTCCTGTATTTAATTTTTATTGCGGATTTGGGGGGGGGGGATTTCAGCAGCGAGAGAGGTAGGTGGCAGAGCTTCGGGCTCACTGTGTATTCTCAGATTATATAAACTAGATAAAGAGCCTTCTCTGATTTAGTAATCATTTTGATTGTTTCAATAACACTCCTCTAAAACTCAGTCATTAAAATTGCATATATTCTTTTGTGTGATCTTATATGTATGTCTGATTATCATTCTGTACAAGTCTGAAATATTTTTTGAATAATCTTGAAGGTGGGCGCGGAGTTTTATACAGGTCAGGCCGCAAGAAGGATAACTAATCCAGGCGAAGAGCTTTGGTTATAAAAGGTTATCGTTCGCCTATTAACTACATCATCCCCTCCCTTCCGGCCGGAGGTTCATTCGGCGGATCATTCAGTAGTTAATGAGACGCTGATCTCACGATCTACCCATTGATCTGGATATCCTCGGCGGTGCGATGGCGTATTATTCGTTCAATCTCTCATTCTAGTTCATTATTGTAACGGTAGTTATTGTAAAACAGTTGATAACTAACGCGTATAATCAACAAGAAGGAATCGTTAGAAAAGAAGAAGAAAAGTAACGAGAGATAATATCAAGACGGAGCCCTTGGTAATAAAGGAAACGATCACCGAGCGGATAACATCACCAAGCGGATAGTTCTCCCATCTCAAATCCAGTCCAATTGCGGAATTAAGCAACCTCCAAACTAGAATTTCTCATATAATTTATACAGATAGATCTATTTCTTAGATCTGTTGGCAGATTCTAGCAGTATGATCAACTAACTACATTACACTTGCTGCAGCGTGGTGGAGCTCGATTTCTAGGCGGCTGGTTCGAATCCTCTAACCCCCCTTGTACAGCTTGATCAATTGCTTGAGGCCTAGCTATTCCTTCCTCAGCTGTTTGAGCTCCATACTGAGCTATAAACATATGAGCTTTAATCATATGAGCTTTAAACGTATGGGCTTTAAACATAAGAGCTTGCTCCTTCTTGCGCTTTTTCTTCTCAGCTCCAGCTCTCAGCTCCTTATTTTCCTTTGCTAAGACAGCAGCACTATGCATGGCCAGCTGGCATTTCTTAACCCAGCTGATTAAAGACCTGATTTGTGGGACTGAAGAGCATCTCTGTACGCTGTTTAATCCTGCTGCTTTGACATTCTAACTGCCTCACATTCCTAGGAGTTTAAAGAGTATAAGATGACTCAGATCCATGAGAACTCCCCAGGAGGGTAGAAGTATGAAGCTGAGTATGTAGATGTGTAAGAACCTCATTCAGATTGTACAGCACTAGACCCGTGCCTTTAAATCCATTGCTAACAGTAGAGTCCTTGAATGCCTCCTTTCTGGTGGCAGGATAGAGTGCTAGAAAATTCTCCTTGTTGATATGATTGATCCCTAATCTCATGCAATCCTCAACTGTTCGTCCGCACGCTCGTTTTAAGGGTCCAAAGCAGCTCACATTCCATCCATAATCAATAGCCTATATCTGCCAATCGTAGAAGCGTGTGCTTCTCAAAAATCTCCTTGAGCTAGAATACCCAGCTTATCCGTGGTCCAGCCATTTTCACTCTCGCACGATGTTGGGATCTTTACATAAAGCTCACCCGTTGTATTTGCGCGGGAATCTAGTTTTTAGATTCTCATGACATTTGATAAATCTATTCAACCCCAGTTGCGTTAACTCGAGTAGAGAGTAGTAAATTTGCCATATTTTGTACGTTTCAACTCGAGGAGGCTGAGCTCTCTCTCATCCGTGGATATTATCCATTGAACTAGAGATTCTTCTTCCGTAGAGGTCAGTTTTTGACAGTTTGGTTGAACATTCGCGCGAGAAGCTCGACCAGCTAGTCTATAGACTAGAGTGGAATAAGGAACGTTAAATGATTTAGCAGCAACATATTTGAATGAGATTTGCTCGGTTTTATAGGCATTAATAGGTAATAAGAGCCTTCTTTCTTGATTAGAAGCTTGATCTTTTGATTTGGGGGGCATATTGAATGATTTGATGAATGCGGGTGATTTGGGAGTGGGAAAGCTATCCGCTTGGTGATGGATTACGTTAACTATACGAGGATTGGAGGCTTGTACGAAGGCAGAGTCTGAGTAACAGAAAGGGTAGGGCGTAGCCCCTTCTAATATTTCCCCTATTCGCGTCTGATAGTTTATGACATGTTCAGCCAAAAGAATTTTCGGCTTTCAATCTTGTACATGACTTCTCGACCTGGATGTCCTGCTAGCTTTGAGTCATGGATCTCTTGCAGAAGATGTGTTCGTAGAGGTTCAGAGTTAGGAACCACTGCCTCCCACGGAAGCAGAGCGCCCCTTGACTGTCAAGTGTGCACTCAGAGATGCCAATACAGACCCCTAGGTCAGTTGAGAACTTGGGCTATCTCTGATGAACAGCATTAACCAACTAAGCGAGAGTATCATTGACTTAACAAGCCTGGTTCCAATGGTCTTCAAGAGTGAGGCTGGGAGGGTCTCTACCAGAGTACTGTTGAAGCTTGTATGACACCATGAGCCGTTGAGAAGTCTTGGATGAGTGATGGGTCCAGCAGGTGTGTCTCGCGGATCTTCCAAGGAAAGTCCTTCTCATTCTTTGGCATGTCTTGTTCCCATTATGATAGTGCATTAGCAAGTGCATTCTGCACTCCTGGACAGTAGTGGATGAGGAAGTTGAGTTCAGAGAGCTTGTGAGTGGTTGTGAAGTATTCCATATTCTTATGGTCAGTCAGAATCTTAAAATCCTTCACACTACAAAGTTCTGCATTGGAGTTCCTTGTAGATCTCATAATTGCACTCAGCAGAGATGTTCTTCCTGAACATAAAGGTGCAAGATCGCAGGACTTCATCATCTTCATACTGCATGAGAGCTCCAACTGTCATGTAGCCAGATGAGTCAGTTTCTACTAGTCTCACAGTCAGGGTCAAAAGCTAGTAACATAGACACAGTTGTGAACAGGTGAGTTCAAGCATCATGTCATAATCTAAACTCTGTGCTTCGTAAGCGTAGCCAGCATGTCGGTGACCTCCTACGTCAATACTGAGCTTGACTATGTGGGTACAATATCTAGCGCAAGGGCCGGCGAAACCTCGCATCCCACGCGGGGGTTCTGAGAAAATACACTGCAGATTTAAACTGAGAGACCTTCTGAGGTTGAATCATTGCATATTGACATAACCCACTGTCTTATCATGGTCTCTATATTATACAGTAGGAACACATATTGCATTAACAGTTATCTCTTTCTCAAGAGTTCTCCAGTCCATCTGTGTCGACTCTTGCCAGTGATTTTGAACAAGAGTTACTCTATTCCCTGTCTAGAATGAGCATCTTCGACCATGTTTTCTTGAGAGTCTTTGGGGTTAGCTCCGACAGGATCCTGAACTAAGGTATGGTTGGCGCAGACAGGGTGTTTAACAGGTACGAATGAGTTGATGCAGCATGAGGCAATGTGCCCTTGCCTTGCGCAATTGATACACACTTCTTGAGCGCGCCTTTTCACAACATCAGTATTGGAGATCCCAGGGACTCTCTGAATGACTTCGCGGCGGTGGTGACTGTGGCATGAGATGCAGGATATGTCGCGCTACACTGTCAGTCCATGGCACTGTGGATACAGTGATGGTACAGGGGGCAGTTGGGATGAACCTCTGGCCACAGTTCTAAATAGCCTTCTCCTGGAGAAGCTTATCTCAATTATACGGAGGTTGGCGCAATACTCCACGTAGCTGTCAGTGCTGGCCTGTGAAACTGTCTCCCTCAGGAGCTCTAAGTCGAGGGCTTTCTGAAGCATACTAATCTTGATCTTGTCATCTCAAAACTGTCCTTCAGCTTCTAGGGTCTTCTGGTCCAAGGTTGGAAGAAAGATTACAAAGGAAAGACTGCATTGACTGGTATTTTGAAGCCAGCCAAAAGCTTTTGCAGCAAGGGCGGGGCCAGAAAAGAGTATATCCGGCTGGGCAAAGATGATGCCTGGATTAAGAGAGGTAGTACTATTTGCGTCCATCCATGGATGGAACTTGGTTGCAGCATCACCGCGGAGGAGGCCAAACCCATACCAGACCTGGCCATCAAGAGAATCAATGGCTTCGCCATCTACACGGAGCTTGGCTCTGGCGTTCGAGTCGCCAGGCGGGATATCGGACGAGGTCAGTCCCATCAAAGGTCTCAAGTGGGGTGAGCTACCCTTTCGGGCGCTTGGTGTCAAGATTGTGAGAGGAAGTGCTGCTGCACGGCAAATCAGTGTTCATCTGAGTTGTACTAGCAGCAGCGACCAGCTGAGTTCTCAGGTCTTGCAGTTCGATACGGAAGGCTTCATCTCGAGAAACCTGCTGTTGAAGGAGTTCTTGAAGCCATGTATGGGCGCCTGCAGAGGCATCTTCATGTCCCATACTGTGGTCCCATGGTCAAGGCATGAAAATTCCTTTTCATCACTAGTGATAGAGACGTCGGCAGTGAACCGCATAAACTATATGAGGTCGCCAGGGTCATCAGACCTTTCGCTGGCTCGTCACCTCTCGCGGCTAGTTATAGGTATACGTAGGATCCCTTCGTTCGTGAGCAGCCCTATACTATGTGCAGGGCTTCGGTGGAGCTACCGCCTAAGTCTCGCGCTGCTGCTCTCTACTATGACAGGAGAGGATGAATGAACGATTCCTAATGGTACCGAAAACAGTTGATAACTAACGCGTATGAACGACTAGAAGAAATCGTTAAAAAAGAACGGAAGAAAAGAGAGATCATATCAAGACAGAGCCTTGTAATAAAGGAAAAGTTATACGAGGATGGCGGAGGCTTATACAAAGGCAGAGTCTGAATAACAGGAAGGGTAAGGAGCAGCCCCTTAAAATTATCCTCTTTGATGATGCCAGGCGGCTGCCAGGTGAGAATCTTCTGTGAGGGGAACGGGCCTTCGGCAGCTGGTCGGAGCAGGTTCGTATGGAAAACATGAATTCCAGGTGAATCTAGTTGGTAGTTATGGCTGCCAAGCACCTTGGTGACTGTGTACTTGGCGTAGCGGTAGTCGAGTGTTTGAGAAGGCCAGTCCATTTGTGTATTCTTGAGATCTAGTCAAATCTTCGTTCTGGCTGAATTCTACATACGTTCGCTTCGTCTGCATAATCTTATTGAACACTTGCTATGGAAGCTTCAGCCCACTCATGGGCTCTTTTGAGCTTGCTTAAATGTTCTCTGCTGATTAGGTTGGGCAATGAGCAGTGTGTCAAACTGCTTAGACATTTCATCAGTGAAATCAAGCTTCCAGATTGAATCCATGAAGCAGGAAGAACGGGGTTTCCCCTGTTGTAGCAGATTCGAGGCCGTTGATGACAATCTTTGTGTGTGAAGTAGGTCACTCCAGTCATCTTGCGCGTAGTTGCAGAACTTCTGGAGCACGTTCTTGACTGTCTGAATCATTCACTCAGAAGCCCCATCAGTCTCAGGATAATATGCAATAGATAGAAGATGTTTCATCTTGAGAAGTTGACAGATACGAGTCCACATAGCACTAATGAATTGAGTCCCACGATCAGACACTATAGAAGGAAGTCTGTGTATATCATAGAATGGGCTTTTGAGAAAGGTGTCCGCAACAGTTTTATCATCCATCTGTCCATAAGGCTGCAGAATGACACCTTAACTGAGGCGGTCCACAATAACCATGTTGTTCTTCCCCCCGCGGACTGCCTGTGCGGCTGCTTGAAGCTGGTCATCAAGAGCTAATGCATGTTTCTAATGTTCTTATAGTGGGAGTTCGTGAACAGATTGAGAGGGGGTAATTTCCTCTAGTGGGGCAGAGGTAGTTCAGCAAGTGACCGGGATAGTGCATACAGTGAAGGCGTGAGCAGTTCCATGCGATATCGGAATTTATCTCTTTCAAGAGCGTAGGGCTAAGTAAACAGTGCTCTTGATTTTTCCATCTTTCATTTGAGTCATCAGAAGGAGTATCTTGTTCTCGACGGGAGAGTACGTCCGCTAGTATGTTTTGTATTCCGGGGCGGTAGGAGATTGTAAATGAAAAGCAGCTCAAGAATTCTGACCAACGCATCTGACAATCTGTAGGTTTTCGTCCAGTCATGAAGTATTTCAGATTCTTGTGGTTAGCGATTATCTCAAACTTTTTGACACTAGTAAGCTCTGAGTTCCATTCTTCAAGACAACGGATTTTGATTGATAAAAGCTCCTTGTCATAGATCTCAGGTTGCATTCTGCAGGCGACATTTTCTTGGACATGAAGGCACATGGTCGTAAGACTCCCTTGTCATCATATTGCATCAATCCTCCGCCAACGGGTATCCAGAGGAGTCAGTCTCAAGGACTGCCTGCCGGTCAGGGTCAAATGTGGTCAGAATAGGTGCAGTTATGAACATCTGCTTCAGTCTTTCAAAGACTGCATTCGCCTCATCATTCCATTGAAATATGGAGTCCTTTCGAGTCAGCTCTGTCAGTGGTCATATGACATCTGAGAAGTTCTTTATGAACCGCCGATAAAAGTTATAGAGCTTCAGACTCCCTTCAGAGAGCTAGGAGCATCCCATTCAGGAATGGCGGTCACTTTCTTGGGCGGCCAGCGCTGACGTGAGGCGTCCAATCCATTGGGTCAGGTGCGGTCATTGCGGGCGGTGGGGTGAATGGAAGAGTTTGATTACGGTAGCCTTGGACCGTACGAAATTAAGCAAGATCGTTATCCAGTTGACAAAGATCGGTGCAGTACAATGTAGATGGTGGGTTTCTGACTATCTACATTTCGATTCAACAGTTCAAAATCCAGGTGACTGCTCAGCATGTTGATTTCGATAACATCATCCCAATTCTGACCTCCAGCTTCCAAAAGCTTACGGTCAAACTCTTGGAGGTAGTTTGCGAGGCAGCGTTCTTTTGTCGATTTCTATTTAGCCAATAGTGCTTTGGCTTGATGTGTAGGGTCTAGAAAGAGCGACGTCAAGTTGATAAAATACATTCTCAGTTGTACGCTGTTTTGGGGGCAGGAATCTATCCATGGTTGAATGTTCGCATGAGCATCTCCACACAGTCAGCGCTAGATATACCAGGCTTGATTTGATAGAGAGCCAATCACAAGACCATCAACATTAAGCTTGGCCTTCGCTTTTGACTTCCAGGCAAGGTATAAGGAGAGGTCGCCCATATATTCGTCTAGGACGGCCAATCATTCCTTTGGAGGCTTATCAGGCAGGGCTGGTGTAGGCACATTGAATGTTATGGGGTTCAGTTCATTCAGTGCTGCACCAATCTCCGGAGGTCAGCATTATCAGCTGCGAGAGCATTGGTGTCAGGGAAGGTTTCTGCTGGGGTGGGCGCTCGAAAGGAGGGTCGCAATCCATGTCTTCATTGAAGGGAGTTAACTCTTGGGCACCCTGGCCTTCTATATGATCTTATTCTAAGAGCGAAGGCTCTCTCTCTATCCTTGTTCTCAGGACGAAGGCTCTCAGGCCTAATAAGATATAAAGGAACGAATTCATAATGGAACAGGCGTGCGACCGAATACGGCCCTAGCACTTCCTTCCTTACAGGAAAAAAGACGAATTCGTAAGGAGAAATGAAAAGAGAAGAAGAAAGAATGAAAAGCTACGAGGGTGGGGAACAGTCTTTTATACGTGTCAGGCCGGAAGAAGGATAATCCGGGATTAACCGCGGGGTTCAAATAATCCGGGCGGAGAGTTTTTGACTACGGACATCACCGTGGCGTTCGTTAGTTAGCCCATTACACAATAGATACATGCTAGTAAAATTTTTGCGTGTTTTAGTTCTCATTCAATCGCATAGAACTGAGTAGTCTTTAATCGTTCTTGAAGGCTGTCTATAAGCTAGTTCATTTCAGAGAGCTTCTTGCTGATGTTAGGTTTCTCTCTCCCCTTTCAGCTTAATGATTTGGACGCTGCTGATGAGACTGTTTTACTCTCTGCTAATTCACTATTCATGCTGACATCAAGTCTGCAATAGAGCTCTTTCCAGTGAAGCTATATTATGCTGCCTCAAGCACATGAAGGTCTTCTCTCACTCTCTTTAAGATCTTGTTCACGAGAATAAGATTACTTTACTACGTGCTGTCTGCAGATTATGTGGCACACAGTCTTACCAAGTCACTGAGGGCCACTAAGTTCGCGCACAGGAAGGAGATTGTAAAGTTGAGAGAATGAATTCAATGTCTTCATTTTTAACTTTTCCTTTGTGGGTTTTCACTGTCTTGTTTTGCCAGTTGATTCTATACCTGTACTTGGCAGCAAGCCTATGTCTATATATAATATTGAGTACCCAAGTCGGGGTGTCGGAACCATGTGTTACGCGACCTATATTCCACTATATAGGCGTTCTCGTAAGTTTGCAACCTTTACAATCGATCAAGCTTGCCATTCTGTCAGAAATATTTCACCAAGATAACCCCAGAAGGGGGACGGAAAACGCACACCTTATTAGGCTGAAGTCTGCAGGTAAACTAACAGGGCCGAAGGCCGCGAACAAACACCACCCACGCCCGAAGGCCTCACTTTTCCACCACCTCTCCTCCTCCAAACTCCTCTTCGGCGACGGGGACGGGGGGCACGGGTACTCCAGCCTGCAGGGAGTTAGCGGTGCGACACCGCAACAGGTGGGTGTATGTATGACCTACCATCTGGCAGAGGATTTGAGTCATCTGCTCCATCTGAAGTGAGATCTTCTCCAGCAGCTGCACAGTCTCCGTGGTGCTTCTGGCGGCGCCAACTACCCCCTTCTTCTTGGGCATAGTTACTCTGAGGTGTTTCTCTACATCGGAGACCCACTTATGCGCTTCCTTCTGAAGTTGGGCCAGGGGGACTTCCCCGATGCTGACGGAATCCGCCAGCACCTGGAGGCTTGAGAGCCTGGCCCTGTACTGCATTGGCACCTATCCGAGTCAGTGTCGCTGCAGTGCTGTCTCAGATAAAAAACATACAGGAAGGCACGAGTCGTTATTCTTTGCGCAACGGAAACAGCGCGAATTTAGACTTGAGCGGCTGCAGAAAATTCCTCCATTCTTGAGCTGCTTAGCGCAGCGGAGGCAGCAGGAGGTCCCAGCAAGTTGACGGGCAGGTTGTTCCCCAACAATGCCCTTCGCCATTGCACCTGTCAGAGAAGGAGTGGAAACTGTAGGTCCCTGCGTCCCCAACGCCTCACAGGGTTGGGTTCTACGGACTGGGCTTCTCGAGGCCACTAACCTCGGATCCAACTCCTCTTCCGACAAGTACGATGAATGACACCGTGAAGGTCTCGCGGCAGAATCCTTGAGAGCCGGCGTATAGGGAGCACGAGGGGTGGGCGCCGGGGGGGTGACAGCCACTGCCTCCGCCTCAGGCGCAGGCGACGACTTGACGACGGCATCATGGCGCGTCATCTCCTCTGGCCTGGCCTTTTTGGCCTCGGCAGGAGCAGCAGCTGTCTCACGCAACTTGCGTTTTGGAGGCACTGTTCAGACATCATTACCAGACTCTCTCTGCTTGATAGACGGAGTATTATACTCATTATTGGCCGGGCCGGGGGGGAGGACGTCTAGTGACGGGAGGGGATAGTTCTTTCGAAAATTTTCCATCCAACCCGTCAGTACTTCATCTTTTTTACACCCTTTTCCTTGGAAGACCACCTACGACGGGAGGAAGAGTTTGACGAGACTATACTGCGCTCGTTAGCATTGTCTTAAATCCATATCATGGGTATAATAGAAGTTATGCTTACCCTGCAGCGGGGCGGGGAGTGTTGGGTGACGGGGGAAGGGTCTGTTTGGCCAGCGAGATTCATAATAAATGCCCCTACCTCCCTAAATCGTGTTGTTGCATAATATTCCAAGGGTATCGGGACGAAGCCCTAGAAGTGGGAGGTGTCAGATATCAGCCTTTTAGCGTCGAAGCTAATCCGGAAGCACGAGTCCTCGCCACGCCGGCAGTTTCAACTTTTATTCTCCTATTATACTAGGCTTCCACTTTATGAAACCTTCTCCTTATTTTCTTTCTTTCTTTTCTGTTTATCAACAATAGGGGGATTCAATTTCCCAGTATAAATAAACGTGGTTCAACCCCTTGTAAAACTTAGTTAGAGAGAGAGCAGCGTGCGAATGACATTTTCTTTTACCACACCAAGAACCGTGCATAACGCACATACCTTCATAGGAGGCAATTGTCAACCTCGACAAGGAGCGGCACCCCCTAGACTCTCTATGAGTGGTTCCTCCGCGGCGCCGGTGCCCTTCTGCACCATACGATATCCTAGCGATGTTCGTACTTCCCCGCCTTTATACGAGTTGGCTGCAGAGATTGTCGCTGCAAGAAGGTCATGAGAACTACGACGCTGACGACGCCTAGAAGGCGCCCCTCCCCCCGCTAATCGGGTAGGGCGGCATCTCATCATCTCATTGTATTCCATACAAAACGGGAGCTTGATAAAACCTCTACAGGGTTAGTTATCTGGCCCACCGTCCAGGAGGGTCAGCGATTCGTTCTCAATGTCTCTGAATTCCTGGAATGTGACAGAATGGCAAGCTTGATTGATTGCAAGGTTGCTAACTACGAGAATGACTAACGAAGTAGTTTAGTAGTTTTACATTGGAATATGGGACACGTGACATGAGCGTGCGACAGAAGTAGACAGTCGCCTGTTACCCTCAGATCCTTCATTATCATTTCCTCTCTCTATCCTCAGGCATACGCTCGTCTGCTTCCTTAACTAGTCAAGCCCACTCTTAGTGAATCTGAGAAGAAGCTGTGTATGTTTTTTATTGTGTTGAGAGCTTGTTATTCGAGAATAGCTATAATTTTTTGAGAGTTCATACTGATATCTTTATTTTTATTAAGAAGTCAAGATAGTTACAGTTAACGTAGTTAAGTTACTTCAAGCGGCGGATTCTCTCTCTGAAAATCATTAAATATTCAACGTATTCAACAACCAACACACTTAAATATTTAAGATATTAATAAATTAAGGCTATCTAATAGTTGAATATATACCTATCTATTAGGGCAACTGCGTATAGTATGTCCAATAGTCCCACAACCGCTGCAGCGCGGTGGAGTTCGCTGGTGAGATAGCTTCAATCTGAGCTTCAACCTGCCTATCAAGCTGCTGAACACGCCCACGACCTTCCTGTATAGATATAATAGTATCCTGACTAGATTAGTATGTCTCCATGTCTTTTTCTTTGTCTTTGCTCATTCTCTGCTCGTAGGATCTTCATTTCTTGATGATGAAGAAGAAGAAGAAGAAGAAGAAGAAGAAGAAGAAGAATAGAACACCCATTTGATCCTATACATTCAATAATTGCGACCCATTCATGATTTCCCTGAATAACTGAATATGGTCTCTCACTGTACTCAGCTGCAGTAATGACTTTAGAGGTTGTACAAAGCCCCATTGCAAAGCCAGTCTCATCAAAGTTCCAGATATCATCTTCATGAATTTCATGTTCTTGAATAGCTTCGTGTGCCATCTCTAACCATTGTTTTAAAATCTTTGGATCCTCCGGCTTTGCCCGTCCATAGGATATACAGTTATTAAAGTGTATACATAGTTGATAATAGTGTTGAATGAATCTAGATATCCAGTGGACTCCAACAGTGGTGGTAGAATCAAGAGTATGTGCTTGAAGTAGAATCTGTGCCATTCCACATAGGAAATCTGGTTGAATTGAAAAGCCTCGCTTATCTGCATCCAGTAATTGCTTGAGAAGGGTTTCCTCTTCAATCTCTGTCAATTTGTGACCATTTGTGCGTGCTTCTGAGTGTGATTTGATGCCAGCAAGTCGTTTACGCATGGTAGTTTCAGGAACCTCATATCTTTGAAGCTTTCATCTTTGATATATATATATATATATATTGATTTATATGAAGCAATGACCAACTGCATGAGAGATCCTTGCGATAAGGACATTTTGAAGAAAAAAGGTGAAGAAATGATATGTTGAAGATAGTTGAGTTGAATATTTGATGATTGTCAGAGAGAATCCGCTGCTCGGTGGTGGTGGATGTCCCCATGCTGTAAGCGCGTTGTAGGCCGTGGGGGATCGCTTTTTGGTAGGCAGATCGTTTGGGCAGTGTCATTTCTTGGTAGTAAGCCGCAATACGGGTTAAATCCTCTTTTGAAGATTCAATTCCACCGAATAGCTTCACAGCCTATCTGAGAGAGAGCCAGTAATTCGGTCTCAGTTGAACTCGTAGTCACGGTCAGTCGTAGGGGTGATTTCCGATCTATCGGGCAGCTGAAGAGGGTTACAAGAATCCCTTGAATGCTTCATCAGATTGCAAAATCATCTGTGTAGACTGCATTAGTATGGATTTGAAGCACTGGTTCTTCAAGCTATTGCTGCTCCGGTTGCCGTCCATATTCCAAGTCGAAAGCCTTAGTCCCGCGAAGGTAATTAATCAAACGGTCTACTCATTCCGAGTGGGTTTGAGCCGAATTTGACATCAACCTGGCCAATCAATACGCTGGCAGCAAAGACACAGTCCGGCAAGGTGAGCACGGGGGTAGAGAGCAGAGCCCATTCAGGTTTGATATTTGTAAGTCTCATTATGGCCCGCTATCCCACAATCCGGCGAGAGCGGTTCCAAGGTTATCCTGCCTTGAAGTTTATATTTGCTTACTATTTTCTTAATATTTCTATCCTGGCAGATCCACAATTAGAACCGAGCTCTATCCTGAATAATTCTCATGCCGAGGAACCTTTTGAGAGGTCCAATGACGCGGAGTTTGTGGTGAGCCTGGAGTTTCTCCATAAATATTTGTGCTCCTTACCATATTCCCATGGAATAGAACCACAACGTCATTCGCGAAGAACACTATGAGATGTTCATTTTGAAAGAGGCACGGCTCATCAGGCATCCGATGTAGCCTCAGTTCTTTCAGAGTGGCGGGATATATCATTGTTCCACAGTAGAGATCTGCGCAGGTCGTATAGTACTCGGAGCAACTTGAGTAAATATCCTGGCCACTGAAATCCTCCCAGCGGAGTCCCGTACATGAGGTCATCAAAAGACGCATTTATAAAAGTGTTTACTGCATTCCACTGCTCTGCTTTAAGGTTAAATGCAATTGTAATCACAAGCAGGAAGCGAATCATCTTATCTGCCAAAGTTGCTGCATAATTATCCTTCTACAGGTCACCCTGGAGGTCTCCTCGCACACAAAGACTGGCCTTGAGCTTTATAACTAAGTCGTCATCATCCAATTTGTACGGAAATATTCAATTCGCTGATCTCTGAACGCGCGTATTTCTTCAAAATCTTTTGCTGGACACATTATTTTTAGCAGTAGTGGACTTCTGAAGCTGTGTCTGCAGTATAATGTCTAAATCAGTAGCTGTAACTGAATTATCTTGACCTGGATGATTCTCCTCGGAGGTAGAAACTGAATTCTGATCATATTGATGGCTTGCGGAGTCATCAGAGGTAATTCTATCCTCAGTTCCTTCGTCCAACTCAGATGTCCCAGTGGTAGGAAGTTCAGAAGTCTGCTCAGGGGTCAAAAGACTGGCAGAAACTGACTTAATCTGTTTTGACTTCAATTTCACCTTTACCGTAGATTGGGCCTTCGGAACTGATGCCAAACCGATGTTCATAGCATGGAGATCTGCTTGTTCCACTTCCTGAAACATAAGAAGTTGTTGACTGATATCTCTGATGTCCTTAGCTGGATTATCCTTTGCAGAATCAAATTTGAGTTCTTCATCGAATTTGAACATCCTGAACACGGATTACCTTTTTGAGTCTCAGGACCCAGACGGTGAAGATATTCGAGCAATCATTCTCAGTCAAAAATGCAATCTTTGCTCTGGGTTTAAGTTTGTTGAGCTTAGGGGTATTCTTGATTAGAGGATATGCGCTACATCCGTATACCCTGAGGTTTGCAAAATCAACTGAAATGGACTCTCTTCCAATGAACTCATTAAAGATTTGCACGCGTCGCTTCCATCCTAATCTTTTGAAATGGCCGCCGGTTTAACAAATATATAGCTGTGAGAGTGTGCTCCGGCCACAGGCCTTCTAGTAGATTTGATGATATGCGAATGACTCTTGCATTTCCTATAATGACACCCCCCTGAGTACTCAGCTCCGCTTTGCTGTAGGGTGTATTTGGGTTGGGACCCCTTATCTAAGAAAATTTTCTTTGCTCTATTTAAGAGTAGTGAAGGTTCATCATCAGCGTGAAGTCTTTTGATCTATATATCCCCCTGCCTTTCCAATATATTAACCAGATCTTCAAAGGTTCTCTGAATTTTGTCTTTCATACGTATTGGATATCTAAAATGCATTCCGGAGTAGTGGAAATAAGAATGAGCTAGATATCTATCCCCGTTGTGTGCATCGTGAAGGTGAAATAATATCCGAAATGAACGACTTCAAAAGGGTTAAGAACCTCGATCCATTGGTTTCCGTGAGATGGGCTACCACTTGGCCTTTGCCTGTGCGCAGCACTGACATTCTACCCTATTCGGGCCAATTATTTGACCGTCTATCGTCATTGACATTGCTTCGGCGTTTGGATGGCAGAGCCTGTCATGCTAGACTCAGGCTTCGGTGGATATCATCCTTTTCAACTGCGCGGATCTAACTATTTGAGTTTTGTAACGGGCGTGTTACCGAATACGGCCGTAGCACTTCCTTCAGAGAAAAAAAAGGAGAATTCATTAGAGTGAGAAGAGAAAGAGGATAAGGGATGAAGGCCTAGGCGAAGTGTTTTACACGAGTCCGGGAGGAGAAAGGATAACTAGTCCGAGGTTGGGATGGGAAAAAGGAATGATCCAGTGGTGAGAATTTATGAAAATTTGGGTACAAAGAGTTTTATCAATCAGGCGTTAGCCCCGTTACAAGTTGACTCACATCATGCACTTCTGATGGTCTGCTTGAGGTTCACACGAACAGTTGCGATGCCATATAACGAAGTTGCCATGGATCTTATCGAATGCACAAAAAACTTCGCCTGTTTTTGAATATCGAAGAACAGAATTGACCTCATCAGCGCCAATACCTTTTTAAAAGGATTGCTTGACACAATGTTAATAAAGAAGTCATAGGTACGTATAAGACTTTTGTTATTTTCATATAACTGATTGAGGGGTTGATTTGATAGGTATAATAACTGATCCCACTCCTTTCCCGGCTGATTCCTCTCTACCAGCGAATACGGTGACATCTCCAGGGGGTACGTTTTGTTATTCTTGTTGCACCAACCCTCACCGTGCCCTAACGTGCCGCAAAATTCGCATTTCATAGTGGTATTACTGGACGTATTCGTAGAAGTAGTGGAATACGCTCGTGGGGCCTTTGAGCTCTCTGTTTCTTTCATTTTGCTCGTTACATTCGTCACCTGCTTCAGAAAATCATCGATATCGATGTTCGTGATTGACCCGTGGGATAGAATTCATAGAGTTTCGCCTTAGCGAACATACTCTGCGAACATCCTCTGATAATCCCGTAAGCAGTAGAGAAAAATGTCATGGTAAAAATCATTTGACAGAATGGAAAGCTTGGTTGATTGCAAAGGTTGTTAGTTACGAGAACGATTATAATGTGGGATGGTTAATCTTGTTGTTGAGGTTGAAGCTAGCTAACTATATAGGGTTCAATCACGTGCGGTGGAGTGGTCGCCCAGGCTGCTAGGGCCCAACAACCCAACATATATATGGTGGAAAATAGATCACGTGCAACGTATTCTGTGCTTATCTCAAAGAGCCGCAGCTTGTATTCCAATCATCGTTGGAACTGGTCCAAATAGGGATTGAAACATCGGGTAGAATTCAGAAGGAACTGTCAGAGGCGGTTCAAATAAGCTTTGTGAGGTCAAATATATATGTTTTCAAGTTATTGCAGATCCCTGCTTGATCCCTGACCTTTTTGAATATTGGGCGATTTTTGTACAATATGAAAATTCTGATGATGTAGGCACAAAACGGCAGGTTCTACCGTACGCACTCGGTCAGCGCTTCGAGATTTGGTTTGTACGTGCTTTACTACTTCAACACACACCCCCAGCTGAGCCGCTGAGGACAACAAAGACGGCACCCGAATAGGCAATATTTCTGAATATATCCAGTACCTCTCGATGAAGAATTTTGCTTCCATATCTATATCTTCTTGTTGCTCCTCGGCCGCTCGTCGTGCAGCGATATTTTCCTTGATGTCCACTAATTTGACATGTGCACGAACTCGTTGAATCCTCGTAAGGGAAACACCTTCGTTAGGCCCTTGACGATCATCTCGTTCGTAGAGGTGTAGATATCGTGGATGCGCCCGGCGAGTGCTTCTTGATGTAGCCAGTAGGTGTGGATATCGACAGAGGCAGTTTTGGCATGTATAAGATGACAGCCAGCACCATTATCCCAAATCGTAAGATCTGACCCGCGGGGTTCAGTGAAGAATGCAGGTAGGGTAATCTTTGCAGTTGAGACAGATGTTTAGCGGGACAAACAGAGTTGGACGGAGGTACCATCGCCAATATCGGCAACCGTTATATCATCAGGAGATGGTAGAAGACTTTCTCCATAATCATATAATCCGGGGGAAAGGTCTGCCATGCTGGCCATCGCGAATTCATCTATAGAGAAGTTGTTTTTGCGATCCATAAATTCCTTCAATTTGGCAGCGTTGAAGGATCGCCATGATTCCGGAGACTTATCAGAGTTCATCCAACAGCATATGGGGCCAAAATGATTCCTCTCGCAGTTCTTGCATGTCTGACTCACCACCACGGCCACATCTGTTAGAACGCCTCCTCTTCCGCAGCCGCGGGTACCGCCACGGTTAATAGTCGTAGTGCTAGTATTGTCCGCAGAAGTAGAGGTCTCAGGTTTCATAAGAGTCCTGAGCAGCTTTAGTTTCTGCTGGTTTCGCAGGCTTCTTTCTCTTTGGGAGGAGTCCTGCGATAGCAGATCTCATTCATGGTCAGATTGATGTCCAAACAGCAGCAACGGATTTGGAGAACTATAACTCTTTTGTTTTCTTCTGTACATAGTCGCACCATTTGGTGAGTATAGCTGCAAAAAATGTTTCATATATAACAGGATCCGGCATTGTTACCCCAACTGTCTTAAGTTTGATTGATGATGTACTAAACATTCAAAGAAAGAGCATATGTCCTCATGTTGCTTCATTGGGAATGTCATGAATTCCACAACTGTCTCACAGCATATTTGCATATTTCGTGTTGTGTATTCTTCTTCCAGAAAGCGTCAAAGGGTGTAGACAAGGTTCTGTGTGTTGTTTTCCTATTCTCTGATTATCCGACTGCAGACAGGAGCTGACAGGGAAGATGAGGTGTAGGTGTATAGCCAGCAATTCATTGCATTTCAATAAGGAGCTCAAGTGGGTTCTATCACCGAATTGTCCATCTGGCATTCATTGATAATTTTCCAATATTGAGCATCAACATTCCGCGCCTTTACGGAACTCCGCCACTTAATGTAGTTACTCGAACCCGTAAGAATGTTGGATTTGTTGATATATTTGACATCACGTTTGAACTGGGTAACCCATTTGCCAACAGGGCTGTCGGGTGGTAGAGAGAATAGCGCAGGATATTGGCAGTCTCAGAGTCCCAGGTACATCTTGCGGGCAGGTCAGGCTGTGAATTCACAGAGGGAGGGATCCTCTAGCCTTCCTGTAGCCGAATCTTCAAAATAAGGTTTTCCTTTTCCAAACATATACGTTCTAGCTTTTGCCTCGCTTCATCCCACAAACGCTCCTCAAGCAACATTCTTTGAACATTCTCAGAGAACGTGTCAGGTGGAACAGTGGTGAGAGGATTGTGAGTGAATCGGGAGTTCTGCGTCGCAGTAGAAGGCGTAAGGGATTCGAACCCAGGTTAAGGGGTATAAAATCTCCATGCGAGAGTGAGATTGTGACGTTCTGCAGGCTCAGATGGTTTAATTTCAATGAATGTTGATTGGTCATACTGAGCAGGGAACTGCGAAGCATCACTCTGAAGAAAAAGTTCTGTTTCATCACTGATTGGAAGACCAGAGCAACGGAGCTGTTCAACTGCATCATCATCACCCCCTCTAGAGGCAGGGTCGGAAGATGATGAACGAGCGGCTTTGGGAGGCATATCAATTTATTGGAGCGAACGTCTATGACGTTCCACTAGCCCAGTTATTAAGCTTTGCAGCTAGTCGTTACATGTTCATCAGCGGGGGTAATCACCAATATAGGATGTACGCTTGGCGACCGTAACAGATAGGTGTGGGAGTCACGTGACATTGTAATCAGCTGCCCCAACCGCACGTGATTAGTGTATATAGATAGTTGTAGCTAGCCTTTAAGGAGAGATCATCCATTCCACAAGAAGGGAAGCGTACGCTATCGGAGCGTCCGACAACCCGAGGATGATATCTCCCTCTTTGTAGCCGGGGGGGGCATTTTCCCTGGAGTGTGAGGGAGGGCGTTGACAGTGCCATATTGTTCTGAGCTCTAGGTCGAAGCCGGCCGCAATTGCCATAAATGTTCAGAATCATCTAGCAGCAAGAGTAACAGCATAAGCGTGTTCTATAGTTCTGCAGGATGGATTGATGGTCTCCGCGAACCACTAAACGGAGCGTTGCACTAGAGGAACCGGCCGTGCTTGTCAAATTTGTAGACATAATAACTCACATGGAATTGAGCAGGGTCTTCTAACGCGCTGCTTCCTTAGGGACTTTGAACCAGGATCCCATTGTATTGGTACATGGCTCATGAGGTGAGCAGGGCGTCTTCGACCAACGGGTGAGTGGCCAGCTAGTTAGCTGTGATGAGTAGGCGGAGGAGGCAGGTCTCGACGGTCCAGAAGAGCAAGCAGCTCTGGATTGTGCCTCATTCTCTAAATTGTGTCTCTCATCACCGTTCCTGGGCGTTTTCCACAAACATCTTTGGAAGTAGGCACCGCAGTAGGGTTAAGCTGGAATCTCTTAACGGCGGCTTGATTCGCTACCCTACCCTTCACTTTCCCATATCTTTTGACTAAACGCGCTGCGCTGAAAGAGGCCTTCCATGGTTCAAACACGGAATATAGCCTTAAATAAATAATCTGTATCCTCAGACCTACGGATTGAGTAATTGGAGCAGCGGGAGGTAAGCAAGGGTTTGAACTTGGTGGAGTTGATAGTTCGGGATATTTGCGCTCCACGGATAGTTCTGCTGCAACGCTGCCTTCAAGGGTTTGAATATTTTCAACCTCTTCCTTAACCTAATCATCCAATTCAAAAGAACACCAGCCAACGTGGTTCTCGAAGGTATTTTGAAAGTGAACCTAAGGCACTTCCTGAATTTCTTCAGAACGCGTGTGGGTTTGGTCAAATTGATTCAAAAGCTTCAAGAGTCCCTCCTGGCTAACGGGCATTAGGTCGTTTCTCAAGGCCTCAATATTTCTGTCAAAAACCTCATCCTCGTCAAACGTCACGTTTCTCGATAGAATATCCTTGTTGGTTTGTGCCTTAAATATTCGGAACACGTTCGTTGAATCGTATCCGACCAGGCATCCGAGAAATGCCTTTGGATTAAGTTGGTGGATGTGATACTGCTTCTTCAAATATTCCATTGTCATGATAAAGACTATGCAGCTGTAGCCGTATCCAACCAGATATCCAAAAAATGCCTTTGGATTAAGTTGGTGGATGTGATGCTGCTTCTTCAAATATTCCGTTGTTAGGGTAAAGACTATGCTCAAATATTCCGTTGTCAGAGCAAAGGCTTTGCAGTCGTATCCAACCACATATCCAAGAAATGCCTTTGGATTAAGTTGGTGGATGCGATACTGCTTCAAATATTCCGTTGTCAGGGCAAAGGGGTTTGCAGTCGTATCCAACCACATATCCAAGAAATGCCTTTGGATTAAGTTGGTGGATGCGATACTGCTTCAAATATTCCGTTGTCAGGGCAAAGGGGTTTGCAGTCGTATCCAACCACATATCCAAGAAATGCCTTTGGATTAAGTTGGTGGATGCGATACTGCTTCAAATATTCCGTTGTCAGGGCAAAAGGGTTTGCAGTCGTATCCAACCACATATCCAAGAAATGCCTTTGGATTAAGTTGGTGGATGCGATACTGCTTCAAATATTCCGTTGTCAGGGCAAAAGGGTTTGCAGTCGTATCCAACCACATATCCAAGAAATGCCTTTGGATTAAGTTGGTGGATGCGATACTGCTTCAAATATTCCGTTGTCAGGGCAAAGGGGTTTGCAGTCATATCCAACCACATATCCAAGAAATGCCTTTGGATTAAGTTGGTGGATGCGATACTGCTTCAAATATTCCGTTGTCAGGGCGAAGGCTATGTAGCCGTATCCAACCAGATATCCAACCAGATATCCAAGAGATGCCATTGGACAAATATTCCGTTGTCAGGGTAAAGACTTTGCAGCCGTACACCTTCAAATAGGATAGGTATGGCTTCTATTCAGTGACTTCTGTACCGTCTATTTGTCTTTCAAAGGTCTCTGCTAAATCGGATAAGGTTGCAGAATCATTAGGGGTTTTCCAATTCAAAAGCCGCTTTGGAGTTAGATTCAAAAGTTATACTGCAGCCCGTACAATCTCCGGCCACAAATATTCTGGAAGATTTTGCTGACGTGCACATTGCGCGGGATTGATCTTTTACTACCACCCCAAGCACCCACCGGCTCCGTTGAGGGCTTGCGCATACGGCAGCGCAACGATTATTTGAATACCTTTATTAAGTAGGTAATCCCGAACTGCATGCTTTTGAGTGAACATTTTGTTATCAGTTTCGATCTTCTTAAAATCCGTGTCAAACTGCCTTTTAAGCATTGTGAAGAATCCATGCAAGGCGTAATAATTGTTTCGCCTTTGTGGTCTGTCAGATAGTAATCCCAAACATATCCTGATCAGCGGTCCGAAATCAGCAACAGGTTCGTAAATCGGCTGAGTTCCCTTTTTGAATAATCATGAAAATCGATTGCTAACTGCGCTCCGAATTTCTCATAAATATCCCTAGGATCCCGCTGAATTATTCGTGTTTCTTTGGTTACCCCTGATGAATCACACTCCACAATCTTCGGGCATCTGTTGTCTGCACCCCTGTGGCTCCTTTAGGTGGGTGTTCCAACGCTTGCGGGCCTGCGTGGCCCATTTGGAGATGCCATTTATGATACTGCGTTGGCGGTTCAGCATTCGGCTCTGTCAGTATATTTATTTCGGCGCACTTATGGTCAGCATCCTCGACAGGAAAATATTCAATAACGAAGTGGTTAAACAGCTTCTCTAGGAATCAAGCTCTAGAGTCGTCCGCTAGCCTCAATGTGGTTCTTCCACCTCCAATTCCAGAACGGTTATCCAACCAGCATCTCTGTTGGTAAAGCTGCTGAAGGGATACGAGATGTGCAGTGAAGCTTTCACAGCAAGCGACACCTTTCAAGGTTAGGATTCGTGATTTCTTCCAACTCTTGACTTCTATATCCACGTCACTGCATCCAAAGATTCCAGCTTTGCTGTCCCCGGTCTGAATATAGTGATCTGGTTCTAATTGGCAAAAGTTTCGAAATCAACGTTGGTCATTGAACACGTGGAGCGTGGAACCCAAATCGAGAATCGTAGAATGCTTGAGCGGATATTATTCCAAGGTAAGAAGAGGCATCAGGGTAGCCTTTGACTGATATTTCTCTTTATACGTATTTACCCGGAGCTCTAGTCATTCAGATTCTGTTTTGATAGAGGCTTCCTTAGTAGCTCTCTGATTTCATACTTTGCGAATATCTTCAATCCACTGAGCAAGAGTTGGATTCTCTTTCAGTATAGAGGGCAACATCTTTTGAATGACTGAATTCAGGGAAAACCACTCCCTTTTATACTCCGGAAAGAAATACTAGCAACTCTGAAAAGAATGCTTGATCGCATGCCGGACAGAGTAGAAGAGATTTCTCATTGCTGGTCCGTAACTTTTAACTGCGGGAGATATCTATCCGCACCTTGAGTTTCGGCTCGCTTCTGGTAGTTGACCGAACCCAGTCATAGAGAGTTGTATAAGGAACATCATGTAAGGGAGCAGTTTCTCGAATTGAACTCGTTTCTTTGCTTTTTAAAAGCTGAAATCGTGAGTTCAAGTCTTCCCTCTATAGAGTTTTTTGCATTTTTACTGCGAATTGGTGGCATTCTCACGCGTTGCAGTGAATTAATTAGGAATTCGCTTCGAAGATCTTTTTAATGAGGGACCGGTTCCGTTGGGTGCTCGCCTCGCTGGTGGAATTCGTTCGCTGCATGTTTGCCTGATATGAGTCAGATGAAGCTGTAAAACCACATCTTCCCCAGCAAACCTAACTGCGTCACGCAGTTGGTCATGCGATCTAATCTCCTGCCTTTGTTCATTGCAGCTGTGCTAGTCCCAAAGTGGCTGCAGCAACGTCATTGCTCCCTATACAAAGATATCTTCCACGCCTTTATAATATATCCACCTTCTCCCTTCATCTTCTTCCTTCTATTCTCCTACTTCTCTCTCTCATCCTTCGTCCACGCCACTTACGCACACCTAAACCTTCTTTGCCGACAATATGCGCCTGCCAAGTGCTCATGCTGTCATCCCTGCAAATCTAGCCCTTTAGCTGAGGGGCCCAGTCGTGAACTGCGTTCTCACTTTCTCTGTAATGGTCATATCCGTGCGCTAGATATTAACTTAACGTAGTTCTAGGTTCATCAATTCTTTCCTCAGGAGCTTCTTCTATTGGCAAGGGAAAAGCCACTGTTTGTCCAACTGCCCCCCACCGCTAGCTCTCAGGCTAAGGCGCTCATTCGTTTCGTGGCCTCTGATGAGGAGGTAGCTGCGGATGATGAAGGAGATGAGGGTGGCGAGACATCACGACTGATGGCCCTGTCTCTGACATGCCCGATCCTGATGAATCTCCCACGTCGAAATAGTTGACTAAGAACTCGCATTCAAGAACTGGAGAATAAGGAGAAGGAGCATGAGACACAGATTCTGATGCTAATATAATAAAGGAAAGAGATTAGTTTCGTGATGCATTGGCTTGGAAGGACGCTGGACATAAAAACCCACAGTTCATTGCAGCAGTGTAATCAGAGAAATTCCCCGACCCAGAGATTCTCGTTGATGGGAGGACGCCTGATTTGAAGAGTGGCTGGTCAAGATGAATGGAAAGCTGACCGCCAATGCTGATCGATTCCATCTGAGGCTTCCAAGTAATTTATATCTACAATCATACCACTGGGGAGGTGGCGCGACATCTTTGACCCCCAATGCATGACGATGCATGCTGTCAACCGATTCCAGACAGCTTAAGAAATGTTCATGTCCTTGAGCATGCATAAATTAATCCGAATACCCTCTTGGCGTTCGCCCTTCCGTTCCCTACCCCACTCGCGAGCCCACCACGTCTCCTCATTTCCTGAAAACCCTTTCCTACGCCTTCGCCTTTTACAACAGTATCAAACTCCTCAGTCGTACTGCCGCCACCGCCTTTGTACTTAAGTTTCCTAAGAACCACTGTTACCCACTCTAGCGACAGTGCTTCTCATGTGTGTGTGGTTCTTTATGTGACTTCTCCCTTTGCTTTTCTCTTCGTTCCCACTAGCATCCTCTGGTGCAGCCTTGGTCAAGATTGTTCCTTCGGATGACCCCAGGACCATGTTTACATCCCTCTGTTTTATTGGACCTCTTGAGCGCTCGTACCCAACAGCTCACCCCTCATTCCTTTTTTCATAATCATTGAGAGTCTGAGTAAGCGATACCATCTGGTTCATAAGCAATGATAATTTCTCTGATCTCGAGACTTTTCTATGGTTATCCCTCTCTTCTTGAGTGCTGATGAGAGGGCCGTGGATGACCAGAGTCCTTTCAGATCCTCCGTTTGCGCCTCAATAAGACGCGAACTGTTTGAGGTTTCGTAGAATTATCCAACGGTTCCCATTTGGCGTTAGCGGTGTTATTCCTATGATGTCATCATTCCATTATTCGAACAGTCGAATCATTCTCTCCACTGGATACTCTGCCTTTTCACGTCCCAACCCTTGTTTAGAACCCTTCGCAACTTGGTAATTCTAACACTTGTGAGCGGGTTTTTTGAATGGCTTACTCCATACTCAACCAACAGGCATGAGGCTGGAGGACGCTGAGGAGTCCCGAACTCCCTAAGGGGGTGAATTTCTCATGCATCCAAAATAGCAGATCTCGTCGGAAGGGAGGCTTCAGATATGGAGCCTCAGCATACCCTAGACCGTGATATTGCACGTTATTGACCTCCAATTTCGCCAACTTGAATTTCAGAAGTGTTTCTTTCACTACTCCCACGAGTTTCTCATCCTCCGAGTTCCTCTATACCTAAAATAAGCAAACATAGCCCCATGTCACTCGTCAGACATGTTGCGGCTTTTTAGAGCTGGAAATATCAGCTCATTCTGTGCCTGGTTTGTAGGTGCTTCTCCTATGAAGTCAAGCCTGCCGCTTATGGTGTCTGGGATTACAGCTTCCGACCCCTGTCTATATTTGATCTGAAGGTCATAAGCTTGCAATTCTGGAACCGAGCCTGCCCATCTCTTCGAGGGCTTTGTTATCGTGTGTAATTATACGAGGATCTCATCGCAGTGATGACTTTTGTTGTATGACCATTGTCAATATATTAATCCCATTGAGCTTTCGGCCGGCACACATGACAGGGTGTAGATTTCCACCATCACCATTAGAGCGCAGCTGATAACTCATTCAGATGCATTCATTTCTATGATAAAAGGGTTATGGGGATCTGACTGTATAGAACCGGGGATGAGATGATCCATTCTCATAGTGTCAAAAAAAGCTTCTTGACACACTTTGTTTCATATGATGGAATGAAACCTCTTCTTGCGCAAACTCGGCATCTGTCTCTTTTAAGAAATCTGACAGTGTGGAGCTGCAAGTACTGTAAAGCCCTTGATCAACCGCCGGTAATATGATGTCAATTCCAGGAATTGGAGTACGTGGTGTTTGTTCGTAGGCCTTAGCCACTTGGCGATTGCTTTCAAATTTTCAGGGATGGGGCGGCGTATGTGGCCCCCGCCCACTACATGCCTGACGTACTCCAACTCCTGCGTACCGAAAACACACTTCGTGATTTTAGCATATAGCTGGTGTTTTCACTAGTGTTGGAAGAACATTGTTCAGATGTCCTAGATGTTCCTCGTGCGAACTTGAGAAGATAAGAATGTCGTCTCGGTATACTGGACAAGATGAACCGTTTTGTTCCTTAACAGGGAACAGAGAGACCTGGCAATCCCCAGGCACTTGATAACGGTCGTAAGAGACCGAGTTTCATTAGTTCTTCAATTTCTCACTTCGGCTCCTCAAGATGTCTGTGACTAGAGAGGTGTGTTTTGATTGACAGGTTACGCATCCCCAGCGTCAATTCCCTGTACAAAACCCCCTACGGGCAGCAGGGAAGGTGTAAGATCCAGTTCGGAAAACCCCCTCATTCCTGTTGCCTTTGGTTCAGGGCTTCTGTGAATGTCAAGACATTTTTCATAACACAATCATGGAAATCATCTAACATCTCTACCCTCTCGCTTCCGCTCGGACTTGCCAAGATGTTAGGGTTCGTAGAGCACTGATCCCCTAGGGTGCTGTGAATGAAGAGTTTGTTCGGTTCGTTCGCGTGCTCATCGACTGCATCTCGGGTTATTCAGGCATCGATGATAAGTGTTGATTATGGAATTGGTCTACTTTGTACGGTCAAAGGATTTCGTGAATGTTGTCAGGAATCTTTCGTATTAACGTCCGCCTCTCGGGAGGACGGACTATTTATTTTCGGGAGGGGAGCACCCGTCTCCTCCCTATGCTCTTCTTCTTGGAAGGATCGGCTTGTTCGAGGGGGGTCGGTTCGTCGAAGGTTAAGGCTCGTGTCCAGGGCTCGTGTCCAGGGCTCGTGTCCAGGGCCCGCCTAGATCGGAGTTCGACCTCGTTCGAAAGGTCGGTTCTCCCCTTCCAAACCTTTCGGGTGGGGCACGCTTCTTATATAGTGCAAGAAGTTAAGGGCTACGTGTTGCACGCTAGCTAACCGAGCAGCTTGGCAGTGTTAGCCAGGGCGGCTGAATGTTTACCCGGTCCTAATCGGATGAACATTAGGCCGTGTCACCAACAGGCAAAAGCAACAACTATATATTTCACTATTAACTAACTAGTAACAGTGATGTATTTAACTAGTTAATCATCGCAACGACTCGAGCTTGTATATTTTAGCCGGTTGTTATGCCCCGCCTGCGCCACGTGATGTAGATAGTTCGACACGAGAATACCCAACGCGATAATATACATCGCCAGGTTATTAGCCTGGCCAGTTAATTAGCCCCAAAAAAATTTTGATATAAATATCCACTGAGCAGTTTTCGATCTCATTTAGCTCAAATTGTATTAGAACAAGACAGTTGTTTATTATCTCACAATCCTGCTCGCCGCTTCTCAGTGAAACGTGTTCTCACTGATCCTGCAAGATATCACGGATAATGAGAACTATTACTTCTTTCATTCTCAAATCTTCACTGTTCTCAAAACCTATCTTGCTTCTTTCGATTCCCTCTTCTATGATGAGTGACGTGCCCTCTATGCTCCAATCTCAGTGTTAGAGATCCTTATGGCCCCGCAAGACGGCATTCGACGGTAGATCTCATCATCAAGAATCAAGAGGACAAGCCGAATTCACATCCTGAATCGGGCGACAAGGGTGTCACCCAGTATAAGATGGCCAAAGGAAATGATGAGAATCAGAGCCAGTTTACCGGGGGTTATCCTCCAACTCCTCAGGAACACCAAGTGGTATGTATATACGCCAATCATGCCAGCTGGCAGTCCATTCGTTATGACAGCTGAGCAGATTGCTAAGATCAGCCAGGACGCAGTGTCAAATGCCTTGGCTAGTGTCAACCTCGGAGGAAGCTCTCGTAAATGAGATGATGGATCTGATTCGGATGACGAACCGAAGCAGACAATCAAGGACTTCCAGGGGGGGGTCAAAGCCACGTTGGATACAAATTCTCTAACTGCTTTTTGATGGTGCCAACATAACGCTTGGAAGATTGCAGTTCTCAAATGATGCGGAGGTTATTGGAGACAGTGATATATTTCTCAAGAAGGGAAAGGTATGCCTGACGAACTCTCTAAGCCTTAGAAGGGCCAATAGATGGTTAGATCTTAAGCTCTCTATCAACAGATACTTCAATCCTTTGTGAGTAAAGTCATGACATCAATTGGAACTCTGGAACTGAATAACGCAGCTCTCTTAGGAGAGAAAGTTAAAACTGTGTACGCAGTCTCATTGGCGGAGAAATGTATGGACATTATCAGAGAACTATCGACCCTACAGGTCAACCAGCTTTCAAATGACAAGGAGGATATCTTCCATGACATTTCCCTTCTTGGCTTAAAGGATTTCCAGAAAACTCTTGTTGAAATCCCTCCTGGACGAATTCTATTCCACTGGTCAGGAGCCGATATCCAACATTTGAGGGTTTTTGAAAGAGGTTCACCGTCAGATTCTTACCTTTTAGCCAGAGCTGCTCATTACATTACGGAATCCTATGAATACAACAGAGATCCCACTGCCGCAGCAGTGGGATCCCAAGCGAACGTTAAAATCAATGATTCAACTACGGAGCTGAATGACAGGCCTAGTCAACCCATTGAACAGACCAGCTCTCCTATTACCAAGACTTTGGCTCAATGGCATGTCGACCAAGGACACATTCATGTTGATGCCATAATTGCTCTTGCTAAGGCTCTGGATTCGGGCGTACGGATCAAGGGCCTCAACTCACAAAACCTCGATATCATGATTTAACGCGGACGACCTGAACATCATGGCAGAGAATCCTTGTGACACAGACGGGTTGGTCAAGGTCCTTGATGAACGCTTTGAGATCAAGAACTTGCAGGTGCTCCTATATCATGGAAATCTAGCAAGCGGCCCTGCGTCTCAATCAGCTCCAATGAAGCTGAATACATTGCCTTGAGTGAAGCTGTTAGAGAGGCGACGTGGTTGCGATCTTTGATGACTGAAATTAGGATTCATAGGCGAGGCTGGTTGTTAACTACGCTCCACCTACTGCACGTGATATAGCTCGCCTGTATATCCCGGATGGGAGGATCAGTGAACGGAAGATAACGCACGTTCGCGATGTTCGTCATCAACCATCCTACAGCCTTGGGGTTGGGCCAGGTCACATGCGGGCGAGTCATTGTGCCGACTAGACTCGAGTTATATATACCCATCTGAACAAGTAGTTTTTTTCATAACTAATTGTTAACTAGCACTTGATTTTAGAACATCATCTGTTACGGCGGGTAGTTCTTCCGATGTTAACTACCCCCATGCCTGCCTAGGTAGTGATTCACATCACGATGACTCTCTCGTTCTCCCTTCTCTCATTTCCTCCCAACCACTCAACTAGTTTATTATCACCTCGGACGGGACGGATGTTATACCCCCAAATTCCCACTGAATAAATGATTTTGAGAGCCAGTTTGCAATGGCCTATAACAGTTCACCGGATTACAGGGCTCTCTTCCTTCGGAAATCAAAGTTGCGAAGGCAGGCAGAAGCACACTATCAGCCAACAATTTTTGAAGTGCTCCTCAAAATTTTCAATGACTCCTTATTCCGTCCTTTGAAAGTTGGAACTCCGTATCACTCCACAAATCCACAAAGGGAGTTATTCCACTGCCCACTTTGAAATACTGCCCATCGAACCTTAGGCCCTTTGTCAAACTATCCAGTTCAAATGCAAGAAGTCTATAACATAGTTTTTACTTGCATGCAACCAACTGGAAGAGTTGCACCTCGATTATTCAATCCCTTCTTGAACTTCATGGACTCGGTCAACGGTTCTCATCGAAAACTATGAAGTGAATGGGATCTGGAGAATTGCGAGCGAGCTGCAGTGAAAGACCATGACTATGATGTTATATCCGAGCTGTGCAAAATACCTGACGCCCGAGAAAGATGGGGTCATGTTCGAAAATCATAAAAATCTTCTACAGACGCCAAACGAGTCAGATGATAGTCATGCTGATGCAGAGCTGATAGATGAAGAATTCAGTCCACAGCATCTCATCCCGGATACATTCTGTGTTCATGCTACGCCATGAAATCTCCTGGTCCAAGAGGGAAATCCGTATGCTGGGAATCGTACATGATGACTTACAGTTTGATAACATGCTATGGAATAACGAACTGAGCCGAGTTCTGATCATAGACTTTCACTGGTCCCCCATAGACCCCCACCCAATGGAAAAGCGTGTGTTGAAACGGTCACTCGATCAGATAAGCATGTCGAAATGAACCTGTAATAACCATAGCTTGACAGATCACAATATCTCTATAACAAGAAATCCGATGTCCACAGTAACATCTGAATTGAAATGAGTGAAGTGTGCCAGGGTCTGTGGTTACGTTGATCTGTGTTTGGTTGTCCGCAAGATACCCAGGCTGCATGGACCACAGCGGTATTTCAAATTCATGAGCGTTTTTAGTCTGAAGATTGATTCTAGAGGAAAACTCTTGATGACTTCCAGAGTCTTTTCCTCACTGTGTTTTGTGTTCCTGTTTCAGATGAAATGCTTGGGGACAAGATACGAAAATACCTTCAACTGTGGTGTGGTGTATTAATATCTTAAGTGATTGAGCTGTATGGCAAGCTTGGTTGAATCAATTGCGGAGTTTGCAAACCACGAGAACGACTATATATGGTATTTCTGAGATTTTTGAAAAGAAGACAGCAGGCTGGGAGTAGTGAGAAGGACAGGTTACCTGAATGTGCTGAGTGCACACTTATTTAAATAATGATAACTAAATTATTTAACTACTTTAAGTAGTAAGTATATTTATAAGATAATTATTGAAGTTCCTCTCTGAGGCCTCTCTTCACCTGAGATATAAAACATGTTAAAAGGGGGGGGAAAGATGAGCCATGGCAAATAAGTTGAAAAGTGAAAGAAAATCACTGCAATGGTGTGTCAGTGAAAGATAAAGACTGCATGAAAATCAGCTGTGAAAAAGGTAGTTACATGACTCACTAATTCTGTTAAAGGTCAATGGTATAGCTCTCCTCAGCGAGACTATTTCTGAACTCCTCCCATGCTGTTCTAGATGCTGGACAGTCTCAACTGAAAGGCCTTTGCGGCTTGGTGAAGGTTGTGACAGGTCAGGATCGCACACGACGGGCCATATCGGGATCATCGAGATTCATGTCGATAAAAAGCCTTGTCGTCATGCTGCAATTTCATGGACAGAATGGGCAGGCAGATCCTTCCGCGCCCCGTCTGAGATAGATTGTGGCCAATGACCTCGAATCGCTTGCTGTAGTTATCTAAAATCACAATCTCTGATGAACCGCATGGGGGCATGAAGGAGTCCGGTTGATCTGTTCAGATAGCAGAAAGCGCCATATGCACTCTAGACAGAAGACATGACTACATGTTCCCCATTGAATATGCAGGAAGAAACTTTGCTTGCAGATTCCACAGTTGTCATTTGATAGCAGCTCTGCATCAATTCACTCGCTGTCTCCCATTTGCTCTCTGCTGGTGGGGAAAGTTCTTCCTCCTCTCTGGTATCGGTTGCAACAAGAAGATCCATGGCAAGTCGCTGTGCCACCCTCAGTCGCGAGCCCGAGTTCTCCGATGAGGAAGGATTCTGTTTCTTCGAAAATACGATGCACACACCTCTCTATTTTCGCAAATTCGAATCGCCTGCGTGAGATTGAAGGCTCAGAATGATAATTTGTGGTTGAATTGCTCAAGGGATCATAAAAATGCCCGGGTGGAGGAGAAGCTGTGGATGATTGAAGGATGATTGGGAAAGAGCTAAAAGGTTAAGGAAGGGAGTGAAAGATATTAACTTCTAACTAACGGAGTTAAAAGGTTGGAAGATGGCGTTGTGAGACTGGGAATCTTCGAAAGCGTTATTATATTTAATTACGCGCCGTGCTTCAGAAACTCATGATTCTGTCCTCTACTTCACCTGTTTCAAAGATCTGAAAAGCAACAATCTTGTTCCACATTTCTGCGTTATTGTAATATTTGTTTTGCCCCTCTATAATTCTCTCGGATAGGTGCTATCCGCAACGCTCTGAGAGTGCTCCTTTTGGTGCTCTGCACTATCCAGAGGGTGCCCATAAAGTGTTGAAAGATCAAGCTCTTCATCTGATCAAATAGCAGACAACTTCCCAATTGTGGGAAAATCCAACGGGTATCTTCAGTTAACGGCTTCTTACGCATGCCGAGCTCCAACAAACGAATGTATCAACTGCGAGTGTACATGCAAGAACTTTACATGATACCGAGAACATCCATCGCCCTGGAGATCGGGCTGTGATCCCCTAAAATCCTGGCCCTATAGACGTTAATGAAGACGTTACATTGCCTTTTATCCAACCGGTGGCGTATAGCCCGCACGCTCTCGGGAAATTTCTCGATAAGAAACAAGATATCGATGTGGTCATTCTTCTCGACTCTCGCATAATACGATTCAAGTTTGCTTGTCAGTATGCTGAGAATACTGAGGACTGGAAAATCCTTTCTTCCAAGATCTGTGTTGACAGTCATAGATTCAGTTGATGCCAGCGCTTCTTCAGCAGCAGTGTATGATCCAGCTTTAATATTGTCTTCGTTAACAGCGACATTATTAAAATTATCCAATCTACGTCATGAGACTCACGAGATACGATTAAGTCTGCCATTACATAGATCTCAGGGAATCCTGGATCGATTGGCCCCCCTGTCTGGACAAAAATCCTCATGACGCCAAATACAGGATACGATGGTCTTAAAATACTACATCCTTAGTCAGTCAGTTGTTTTCTACCAGAGCTCACAAACACTAACCGTTGCCCTTCCGATATTACTTGTGTGAGTTGACTCATGGTGCACCCTATTGCAATATCAACATCTCGTGTTGGGCGCTGATTGCCTCGAAGCACCAGCGAGTATCCATTCATAAACACAAACGGAATGCCTTTGCCCTCAAGAATCTGACAGATGCAGTAGGCAGCTGAGAGAAGATGTCGATAGTCTGCCTCTGCGGATGCAGCATCTAGAGTGTAGCCCTGCTGCGCGGTATAGGTTCTGGACACCGCCTGCGACATGTTGAGCTGGAAAGCTATTCTTGCAGTGGATTGATTTATATGAGACAGTACTTGCCCGGAAATAACATTATGGATGAAGGTAAATAAATATACAGAGGGAGGTTGATGTTGCCATGCCCAAGAAGTTATAGTGTCCAGAATTGGATCATGGCCCGATTCGTGACCCCGCATGGCGGGGCTAACTAGTTAACGCTTCTATGTCACCTAGAGAGAACCAATGGTTTCAGGGATACGCCGCAAAGCCGGAGGAATCCTCAATCCCTGCCGTGAAACATCAGAAAGAAACAGGTCAAGTCCCTCAGAAGTGACTGCAGATTGGTCCGTCTTCTGTCACCGACACTTGTGGCCGCAGGGAGTCCCCGGACGTAAGGCTATCATTTAAAAGTCCAGTTCTATGCATTCTCGCAGGAGTAGGGAGTGGCCCAGTCATGTCTGGCGGCAATTCCCACATTTAAATCCTGAATATATATAGAAGACTAGCGCAGAGCTAGACGGGGGCCTAGAGGAATAGCAGCATTATCTCAGATATAATAAAATAAAATAAAATAAAATAATCCTAAAAAGAAGGCAGTGAGAGGACAGCAGAGTCCTTGCAGGGGCCTTTTGCGTAGATGGTAATCGTTTCACTCAGCCACTTTGTTTTAAGGGCATGAAAATGACGAGTGCCCCAATTCTGAATACGGCCTAGTAAATTGCATACGTTTGAACTCTGGTGTTCTTCAGCGAATTTCCCATGCTTCAATCGTGGATCTACTCCACCCTTTTGAGGATAAAATCGCGTGGCAAAAGATTCTGTTGGGCACTCAGGCACCAGCCTTCTCTGTTTTGTGTTGGCGATAGTTTCCAGACTTCTTCTCTAGTTACTCAAATAGGTGATGGGGTGTTCAGAAGGGCACAAATTGTTGTCAGTCTCGGAAACATCAAGTGCTTCTTCGCTAGCATCAACGCGTGGAAGACAAGCAAAATCCAACTTGGGGAAGGGAGCTGTAGATCTTCTTATTTTGCTTCGTAATCTGGGAAATATCATGGATTCCGTCAGATTCTCCACGCACCATTTGTCCACTAGATTCAGCCCATTGATTAAATCGGCTAGTGCAACCTCGTCACTTGTTTCCAGAAGACTTTAGGGAATACCCATTTGACTCTGCTCGAGATTCGACGATACACATTCCAGATGCGCGTGTTCCGCGGCGAGAATGGTAAAATGCAAATCAACGTTCTTTATTTTAAAGCGTGGGAAGGCCTGGAGTAACGTGTCGAGCTGCGGTTTGCCACCAGGGTTCATCTCATATTTTTGACTATGGGGTTCCGACTGAAAGATTGGAGAGGTTCTCTGAACAAGATGCGTTGATACGCAAATTTGCCAGTCCCAAAATGTAGAGGTCAGAGACCAACTTGCTGGACGAGAAAAAATATACATTGACTGACATGTCGGAGTCGCCATGCATCAAAGTACCGAAGAGCTGAAATCCCAACCACACAACAACAGATACCTCAAGTAGTCAATTTGGTGATTTCTAGTACTTCCACAGTCCCTGCACCACCGTGGCTCGGTAAGGCATCGCCTGGAACACAGAGGGTTATCGGCGGAACTTTCCCTTTTGCTGATCACCGCATTTCTGGGTGCAAAACAATGCCCCGCATCTTCTAGCATTTTGGTTGTTCTGCGGGTATCTGTTCGTAGTGGCTCGGCTTCCATGTTGAAATGAAAGAGCGTTGGCCTTGGTCCGTCAAAAGTCAACCTGAGACCACTACGGACGGACGTTGATGGTCCTGTAGGATGGTTAACTAATCTTCTAATGTTGGACCAAGCACTTTGTAGATTTTAGTCTGTCTGTCTGTAATTTTCTTCTTTTCTATAGTTAATAACTCTAGCTCTTTTTACTCATATGCTAGTTCCTCTGCTCTTAGCTCTTCTCTCATCTTTTGAAGCTCCAACCGCTGTCTCTCTATATCAATTTGACGTTGTTGCTTATCCCAGTCTTGGTATATAAAATTGGAAGAGGCAACACTATGTAGACTGGGTGATGATCTACTAGCATTTGTTAGTTATCTGTCAGGCACTTTCCAAACGCTTGTCAGCTAATTGAAAACTTACTGAATACTCTCTGCCTGTGCTGAGCTGTGAGGATGCTACTGAACTAATCACAACTTAGCTACTTGCAAAATACTTGTCAACTTCTTAGTGAGATTTTCTGACCTTGCTCGTCTTCGGTGGGTTTGAGAAGACTGTCTTGGCGTCGATGATCTAAACATATCATTCAAAATATCATCAGTCACCAGCCTGCTCAGTTCGCTTGTGCTCAAAAATTTCTAAATACCAGTCAGCAATCACTTGTCAAGCAGTGTGTATCAATCACCTTCTCATGTAATATGCTGTTGGTAATGTGCTTGCATAATATTATCACGGTAGTTATCCATGACGGATACCGTGGGTCTGGCGGGCCTTGTGCTGCATAATATATAATATCGAGCTTATCAAACTTCCGGGCAACTAAACAGCATAAATTTGGTTTTTAGCCAAGCTTCGGTAGTTGCCAAGTACTTTTAATGTGGTAACATACCTTAAAACAGCTGGGAGCAGTGGAAGATATATTGAAAAGACCACTTCATTCATTTGTAATATTTCAGACGCTTAGTTATATAACATATCAATCTCACAGATGATAAGGTAAGAAGAAGCTCTGCTTGTTCCTTGTATATACAAACTATCATTAATCCCTCTTCATTATGATAGAGTTACTGGTTATTTTTACTTCTGAAGTCATAAACCGGTTAATTTCGACCGCCAAGTAAACTTGTAAAACATTTTTCAAGTGCTTTTTAGATGCTTACTTCAGCAAATCATTCAGGTCATCATCAAACACCTGAGACTCGAGAACTGCAGACATTTGAAGTGCTTGAAAAGTAGTTGACAAATACTGACAAGAAATAGAAGAGATTTGAAGAGAAATTATTATGGTAATGTTCATACGGTTCTCAACTTGATCGGGTCTGCAAAGCCCTTTCAGCGAGGTTCGACCGATCTGTATGCTTCTTTTCAGGATATTTTCGATTAACTTTAATACGTATTATTAGTATTAATGACTTGACGGGTTGGGGACACACCAACTGCATTGGAACGCTAGTTATTTTGGGTGTACGGCTGTGTACACGCTATGTTTGATTTAGGATAGTGTATATTTTGAGGAGTGTATTTATCAATCTCTGTTGAATCTATGTTGTATTGGATATTTTGTATTGGAGGGATAAAACTGTTGGGGCGTAAACAAGCGCCCGTCGCATCGAGCGCCGCAGTGATTCGGTGTAGAGCTAGCTCTTCCCTCCAATAAGATCAACCATCTCACAGCAACAATGTTCCCTAGTAAACTGGGACTAAAGACGCTGGCTAAACTATTTATGGAACGCCACGAAACTGGGAAGAAGAAATCGCACCCAGCAAACCTTTTAATTATTCACAATTCACTAATTTTTGTATGCCATCCCTCTAACCGTCACTCACAGCGTAAATTGAGAATATCTAGATCTGCTGTACGGTCATATGATGTCAATAATATCGTAAAAGTGCTTGGAGCTGGACAAGTTGGATCGCCGCACTGGACGGGACTGGACCGGACCAAAAGGCGGCGCATTCCTTAAACTACCGTGCGGGTGAAGGACTGCTTCTCGCCCGTCATGTTCGCCCGTCATGTTGAAACCCAGCACATCTATCCAAGAACCAGAACTTTGTGGATGCCTACTACCGTAGCAGGGAGCGCAATCACTGCGTTGACACTAGGTTGCGACACCATAAGGCTGGGATCTTCGTCTGAGCTTTGGTTTCCTTATTCTTCTGTTTATCCTTCTTGCGTCCAGCGGCCCCCGCCAGAGCCACTGGAGCTTCTGTTGTTTGGAATGATCTTATCCTTGTTCATCTCACGCCATTTCTCAGTTGCGAGTTCAGGGTACAGGTGCCAGCACGTATCCCTCATACGCCTAGGGGGCTCGCATATCGCACACGTCATGGTAGATGAATTGGACGTCGTATTGTTCGTAGGGATGGTGGCATTCACTTACAAGGTGATGTTCGGACATTCCGCATACTTGGGTCTTGTTTGTACAATTTGTCAACTGCTTCGTCAAGTCATCATTATCAATATTTGAGATAAGCCTCTGGCCAGTGGCATAGAATTTGTTGATCTTCGTCTTGACGAGCTCTTGCTGGTTATCTCGATTTCCAAGGAGAAAAATATCATGGTGGAAGTCTTCTGTGTCTGTAGACAGGTCCTTATACCGTTGCAGCAAGATAATGAAATCTCCGCTGATACGCCAGGTAGTCATTATCCTTAGGCTGCAACATCATCGATTTTCTTATGACATTTACACACTCCTCAGCAAGAGGAACAGTGTATCCCGTGTTTATTTTCTCCCAAAGAGCCGCAGCATTGTCGGGTTTCAATGTTCCAGTCGTCATCTGAACAGCTCCAAGGAGTGATTGCAACGTCCTAAGGCTTTCGTCCGGACTGTCCACTTCTCCTTCTCCAGGGATTTCCCAACTTCAGGTGCTGTAGCTGGTTTTTCCTCAAGTTATCCGTTCCGCCAATGACCTCTGCCTCCGCCAGGATTCCCAACCTTCCACGCCTGGTAGTTGGATCCATCGAACGTAGTCACGGCTTTCATATCTAATGATAACTTATCTCCTTCTGGCACTCGCGGACCTCCTGCCTCAAGTCGTCCGCAGGAGCACCGCTGTTGTTGCCGATGAGGGGATCCTGGCGCGTGGCCGTCATCATCGGTTTGCAGAACGCAAGCAGATCCGCAGCAGCCGTCGTAATTGTGCCGTTTACACTAGGCGTAGGCAATGGGATTGGCCTTGTAGGACTAGGTATAAATCAAGGGACTTCTCAATTTCAGGGAACTCGCGCTTTCTCGCTGTTCACCTTTGGCAACACGGCCGCTGCTTGGACCCTCAATCGTGTAGCCTTCCTCTGCCATATCGTACCGGGGAAGCCCCTCTTATTGCGAATCTGAGCTACTCTCCTCATCTTCCTCAACTGTAGAGATCCCATGGGTTGTTGAGAACGACCTCAACGGCCATTTTTGTTCAGAGCATGAGGTAAGGGGTAGTACGCTCATCGGTCTCAGCAACTGGCTATTTTATTATTATGAAAAAACACGAAACAACTGAGAACAAAAGATCAACTGATCTTTCGTACAGTAAGAAGAAAACAAAAAGAGAAGAGAAGAGAAAAAGGAATAAGTTAACCGCCTAGAATAGCTTCCGGGGCGCTCTCTCGGGAGCCACTGCTTATATCTATCCTTCTCGCGTGGGCCAAAACAGATCCTCTTAGCGCTCAAAAAACGAGATCTTCGCGTGAATAGAAGTGTATTCGTAGTAGCAGTCAAACTCAGCCACTCGTTTAACGCAGCGTGCTTGTAGAAATCGCGAGATTTCCAGACAAATGTACATACCATAACATGTTGGGATGAATAATAGTTTTATATCACGTGAGAAGGTTTTTGGAGGTTGCGACCTCTGCGATGCATCGTCTCCTGGAGTATAAAACTACGTCTTGTCTTCCCTGGCTTCTGAACATGCGATATTCGAGTTCGTGGTGAAATTTCAAAGTGGCAGTTGGTAATTACAGGCACATTTCGTAGTATAAAGTCATGAAGCTCGATTCAGTCTTTCCGTACAAGCTCCCCTGCAAAGAAAATACCCCCGGACTTGCCCAATCAATGACCAACAGGCAGCCGTCAAGATGAGCAGCACCGTGTCACTGATCTGAAACGTTGCCGTCATGAAGCGATGCAGGGGCTTTGGAATAGCTCGGTCCAGCACCCACCGCTCTCAAGAGCAAACAGATCTTGGGAGACGGCCGTTGGGTACGAGAATTGTTGATTTCTTTTTTTTTTTTTTTCGCTGGAACGATGGATCAGCTCACTCGTCATCTGCTCGATAAAGAAGTCAAGGAGTTAATTGACTCGATGGAGCCATCTTTGGTCTGCAAGCTGGCCTCCTCCTTGCACCCGCCCAAGCTCTTCTCACACCTAAAGAAAGGGAGCTATAATAACTGCCCTCCAGTTGTGTTTACAAACGCAGCTGACCATATCTATGCCGAGTCAACTCAGAGTGCTGAACGATAGATGATTCAAACAAGCATCCCCTGTCAGATACGATGTTCATTGCCTACGCACTTTTAGAGCCATGTAGGTAAACTTGGGAATGTCCACTGGAGTTTATTGCACGACATGTGGCACGGAGAAAATGAGCGACTTGAGAGCGAAGAGCTTCTTTAATCATCGTTGTCTAAGAGCAGCGATGGGTGTTATACACCAAGAATGGAGGAGGAAACCCAATCTCGTAAGAACTGTTGGTCTATTCCGTTGTTTGGCTGCCCTGCTCGCTGGTATCTCCCGAATTTTCATCAGATGCTATACACCGAATTGAATCTATACAGTCCTCCTCACTGTCCGCCTTCCCTGACTATCGGATTCGGGCGAGTATACAGAGACGGAGCTCCCGCGTCACCAAATGACGCCTACGGACACACAGGCTGGCCAAGTGCTGCAAATAAAACTTGGGGCGAGTCTTCCTCCCTGCCAATCACGTCCGTCGTGGGGACATCTTCATCATTGCTCATTGATAGACACAGAATCTGTCCAACCTGTCTGTCTTCTCAAAAAAGAGACACCCTTCTCAGTAGTCTGCTTCCCTTTCCCGGGGACGCTAATCATTAGTAGGAGAGGAAAGTGTTTCGTCAACAAGAACTGTATTACTTCTTTGGCCGGTGAGCTCTACTGGAAAACTTCATGGTTGAATCATTCGGTGTCATTGAGCTTGAATGCCTGCATCAACGTCTCATCGTCATCAATTCGTTTTCGTTTCCAGTTAGTTGGCTTCTTTCTATAGTAACTATCGCAATTAATTGCCATTGACGAACCCATGCCAACCAATGACGGGGCCATCGGATGCTAGAGCAGCCCCCTCCTGCACGACGGGAACAGCCCACAACCTACGAGGGGCAGGGGCAGGCCAGGCGAATGAGCGTGGGAGGCGCAGGGGCTGCCATTGGTCATTTGGGGCGGGCTGCGCGCGATACGGTAAGCTAAATAGCCAGCAGGGGGGAGCGGGATGTAACTTGCCGGCCAAAGACCTGGGAGAAAGTACCAAGAAAAACATGGAAGAAAAAACATGGAAAGAAATAAATAAAAAAAAATAAAAAAAAATAAAAAAAAGAAAAGAAAAGAAAAGGAAAAACCCAGTTCCCGAAGAGGATCTCGAAAAATCCCGACGGAAAATCTCTTCCGAGCTCTGCACATGGCGCCAGCACGGGCTATGATTGGCTGAGCGGCCAGGCCAAGCTCTTGCCTCTTTCTTCTCGAGTGGGCAAGCACCCGGTACAAACACCAGTACAACCGGACTGCCCAGTCCAATCTGAACACCCCCCCTACGCTGGCAGGTACCTGGAAAGTACCCCCTCATCTCAACCCTAACCCGATTCGGGCCAATCATCCGGCTAACCCTAGCCCTAACCCTAACCCTAGCCCTAACCTCCCCCCTTAGCTTGACTGGTACCTGGCGCTGCACATACAGGACCGTACATAACAATGTACCGCCTAGTTGGTGGCAGTGGCAGTGGGGCCTCTCGCTGTCCTTTCTCTGGTTGGTTTAAATATCCTCAACTCTCTTGTTCTCAACTTTCTTCTTATTCCTCTTTTTCTTCCTCCTCCTCCTCTTCCTGCTCCTTCACCTCCTCCGTCACACTCCCCGTCCAGCTACCTGCTGCTGTCTTGCTCTCTCGTCCCTTCTCCCGTCCTCCCGTCCTCCCGTCCTCCTCGCCCCCTGATCTTCTCCTCTCCCTAGACCAACCAGGGCTGTGATTGTGTCTTTCCCCCCCCCCCCCCTGCACCAATCCTTGTCCGCCATGGCTGTCCTTCGGAAATACGAATGGATCCTCGCCATCATCTCCGTCGCCTTCTGTGCCTCCTCCTTCGGTAACGGTGCCAACGATGTCGCCAATTCCTATGCGACCTCCGTGGCTGCGAGGTCTCTCACCATGCCCCAGGTCGGTTTCCTGTCCATGATCACTGAGTTCGTCGGTGCCGTCGCCCTGGGTGCCCGCGTCACGAAGACCGTCAAAAGCGGTATCATCGATATCACCAAGTTCACTCCCTCTCCCGGAGTCATGATGCTCGCCATGGGCTGTGCAGAGATTGGCAGCGCCACCTGGCTGATTGTTGCTACAAAATTCGGCTTCCCCGTCTCAACCACCCAGACCGTCGTTGGTGCCCTCGTCGGAGTCGGTATTGCCTCCCAGGCCAACGTCAAATGGGCCTGGGCTGACGGCAGTGTCTCCCCAGATTTGCGGCCTCCTGGGGCATTGCGCCCGCCATCGCTGCTGCTTTCTCCGCAATGATATTCGCCACTGTAAAGTACTCCGTGCTCGAACGCCGTGACCCCCTCAAATGGGCTATGCGTCTGATCCCCCTCTACCTCTCCTTCACCGCCGCCGTTCTTGCCCTTTTTATCCTGGTCGAGCTTCCCGGTGGCCAGTCCTACGAGGAGTTTGGCATCGGCAGAATGTGCGGCATTATCCTAGGCGTCTTCTTCGGTGCCCTGGCCTTCTCCTACATTTTCTTCCTCCCTTACTTCCACCGACGCCTTATCCGCGAAGATTCCCGTATCAAGTTCTACCACGTGCCCCTCGGCCCACTCCTCTGGCGCGATGACCCCTGGCTCTACTTTCCCGGCCCCGCCAACGGTAACTTTGTCATCGACTACTACAAGAGCTCTCACGTGTCGAGCACTCAGGCCCCGCCCACCAGCCCCCCCAACGACCAGCTGAACCCAGATGCTATCAAGCCGTCCCTGGATGGGAAAGCCAAAAACGTAGATTCCCCTAGCCCATCCTCTATCGAGAAAGGCGGCGCAGAGCATACCACCACCGCAACCCTGGCCAGCAAGCAATTCCTCGAGCCAGAAGAACGTTTCCTCGCCCCAACCAAACATCTCCCCTTCTACAATCCCTCCCGCGTTTGGTCCTATGTCAAATTCTTCTTCCTCCAGGGCGTCTCGCGCGACTGCGTCTCCCACGACTCTGAAAGTCTTGCCAAAACTCACGCCAAAGCCAAACGTTATGACAACAGAGTCGAGCATCTCTGGACCTACGCCCAGGTTGCCAGCGCCATGATGATGTCCATCGCCCACGGCTCCAACGATGTGGCCAACGCAGTTGGCCCCTGGGTCGGCGCTTACGACACCTTTATCACCGGCGTCGTCGACAAGGAAGCAAACACTCCAATCTGGATCCTGGTCGTCGCGGGCTTCCTGCTCGGTGCCGGTTTCTGGTTCTTCGGTTACAACATCATCCGCGCCCTGGGTAACAAGATCACTCAGCTCTCCCCCACCCGTGGATTCTCCATGGAGCTAGGAGCCGCCATCACCGTTCTTCTCGCCTCACGGCTGGGACTCCCCGTCAGCACCACCCAGTGTCTCACAGGCGCCACGATCGGAACTGCCCTGATGAACTACGATCTCGGTGCTGTCAACTGGAAGCAGCTGATGTGGATCGTATGTGGCTGGTTCTTGACGCTGCCCTTTGCGGGTCTGCTATCCGGGCTTTTGATGGTGATGGCTCTCAACACGCCTCATCTGTAGAATTTATTTAGAGATATACAAGGTCATCGGAGTTACTGGGATTTGTATCATTTCCTTACCTTGGGCTGCTTGATTTATATTTTTCATTTCTTTCTTTCTTTTTTTTTTTTTTTTTTCAATTTGCACATATTTCACTCATAATACAAGTACTTACATTCATGCATACATACATTCATGCATACATACATGATGCATACTTCACCCTGCCTACCCCGAACCATATACTCACACACACACACACACACACACACACTTTCTCTCTCTTCCTACCCACTCCTTGCTACCTCTTAGATACCCATTTCATCTTGTCACATCTTGTCACACGATATCAAAAGTCTATAGTTAGATGAATAACGAGCAAGCCTCGTTTCAAAAATAACGTAATGAGTACAGAGTGCATCCAATATTTCTACACCCAGTCCAGTCTGAAAGTGAAAAAAGATAAAAAAAAAGAGAGAAAGATCTTAATCCCTGTGCACTATTTAGTGCTGATTCTACGCATGCCACTACATAGACCAACGAACTAACCACCAACTAACCACCCTTAATTAGTTAACCATGTGCTCGCCTAATCCTACGATGGCTACAGAGCACGCGATCAGAGTATGCATACATCGAGAAAGAGTCAAGCCATCTTCTTCTAACCCTGTACAAACCGTGGTTACCAGGTGCTGAACGATGTATACCAACCACACTTCACGATCTATCTCTAGAGGAGTTTGTAGCCCAGACGTAGGAATCCCCATCCTGCCATCCAAATCCCCCCCTTTCTAGAGCACGTCGAGAGAATTAGGTTGTTGCGTTGAGGTTCGTTTTCCAAGTATTGCAGCCTTTGCAGGAATCAGGAAGACATGAAAAGATGCTGGGTAAAAGAAAGTCCGATCCGACAATACGAAGCCACGTGATGTCCTTGATCCTTCGCCGCAATACACTTCCCTTAGAACAACGATTAACAGAGTTATCCACGTCTATTTCCTACATTCTACGAAACCATATTGAATGAGCCCGTCACCATCAAGAACCTTCCCGAGCCATCCTTCCTCTTAACCTAAAACCCACGATGCCCCGCGCAGTGAAAGGTGAGAGACCGCTAACCACCCACCCATCTGCAATCCCGACAGACGCGCCGGAACCCCCTCTAACAAAACCGCAACATAGGAGTCCTGATAGAATGCGACCCATCCGTCAAAGCCATAATCCTAAAATATGACGAGGAGCGGCACGACTACATCGTCGAAGACCTGGATGACGAGCGGCACCTGGTCATCAAGGAGAGCCAGTTGCCGTACCTGAAGGCACGGCTGAGTCGAGTATGTGGCGTACACCCCCGCAAACGCGTGTAGCTTTATGTCTTTTAATTTCGGAGGTTGGGGCTTGGGATGTATATAGATATAGATATACGTACAATCTGTTTCGAATCTGCGCAACGGCAGCCTGATGATGAGAACAGGCTAAGGGGATGGCAGCAGAACAAGAACAAGAACGAATGAGTTGATGCTAACGTTACGCCTTTTTGACAGGAGCTGGACGAGAAAGTCATGCAGCCGGAGGAATCGGAGTCGGAGTGATTCCCGCCCAAATAGCCATCTGCCTAGGTCCTAGGCGTCTAGGCGACGAGACAGAAACAACAGCGGACCGTGCCGAATATTAGGGACGCGAGACTGATACCTGTCCGTCAATTCCATCGATATGCCCAGTGCTATTACGAGGACGGCTACGATTGCCGAGGGTCATATCCCGCGCATGAGATTAAGAAATCGGTAACCGCCAAACTACCATATTTGTCGAAATACCACCCATCCCGCCTACACCCCTTGAGAGATCCGGCCATGCGCGGGATCCAGTGGCACAAAATAATACATTAAACACTACACATGCAATTGAGGCGAGTCGCTGCGTCTTCTAGGTATGCAAGAGAAACTCGACTTTCTTGGGAGATGAAATGGACGGACGGACAGACGTCCAATGCCAAAGGTCACGTGAAAGGGATGACTTGCTGGCCTGTGTTTTTGAAATTTTGTCGCCGTGAGGTTATTTTGACAGTCATCATTGGATTTTCCTCCTCTGCCTATTATGATATGCTTGCTCTTTATAATGCAAGTTAACTTGCTTTGAACTTCTTCTCGTACGTTTTGAAGAGCAATTGCTCCATTTCTCCCGCGTGATCATGGCGATATCTATCCTGTTCCAGCAATGCGTCTATCGTCTGTGGAATAGTGGCAATGAATATATGGCTTGTACTTGTTGCGCTGGGCAAGATGTTTGGGGCGAATGCGAGTGTTCCTTGCTTCCAGTGCGGTTTTGGTGATGCGATGGCCCAAGTTTTGGTCGAAAAGCTCCTCCATCAACACACAACCCCAACGCGAGACCACGTTGGGGACTTGGATCTTATGCCCGTCGTCCACTGAGAGGGAGGAGATCTTTTCTGGCCAGAGACTGATCCCACAACCGGCCAATCGCACTTTTGAAGAAGGGAAAAGGCAGCATTTGTTCAAGACACATGGCGGCTGTCAATTCGACAGAAGATCATGTCTTAGGGACATTTCATATGTTGAACTCATCGGCTTTTCCAAACGGTTGTTGACTATGCATGCACAGCATATCTGATACCAAGAGAGACAGTTAGGATCTGCAAATACAAACCTATCATGCCTCAATGCCAGAGCTACTAAAAGAAAGCCTTCTCAACAACCAAAAAAATTTTGTCAACCCACAACTCGATTCCTTAACCCTCACTACCTATCGTTTCTTTTTAGAGACATAAATACCAAAGTGATTCCCTTCTGAATCGCAGCACTGGGTCATAAACCCATGATCCCCCTCAACCACGGGTTCGCCAAGTTTATCCCCTCCATTCGCGATAATAGCCTGTTAAAGCGACAAAAATAAAAAAACCAAAAATAAAACCAAAGTAAGCAGCAAAATACAACTCTGAGCACATATCCACATCCATTCCTCAATGCAGCACGCGTTACCCTGATACATACCTCAATCGCTTTGTTCTGATCCTCCATCATATAATATATCTGGCACGCATTGGCGCCCTTGGTATGCACCGCAGTTTCGATATGCTCAATGCTACCGGCTTACATATTGAGGTCGGGATCCGGGAACTTGAATAGGACCAATTCTTTCGCGGAGGGATCGTCGGGGTGGGCTTTGAAGGACCAGCTGAAGACGACGGCGGCGTAGAAAGACTTCGCTGTTGAGAAACCAATTGGTTCAGCCGAGGGTGATTTGAGAAGGGGGAAATGAAATGAAAAAAAATGAAAAAAAATGCGCGGAGGAGTTGGAGGGTTAGTTAAGGCGTCGGGGGAAAAGCGAGATACGGACCACGGTTAATATCGGTGGCGGGAATATTGAACCAGCAAGGGGAGCCGAATTCATGAGTGCTCTCTCCAGGCATTGATGAGGTTGGGATTGAAAATTGAGAGGATGAGATATGGGGTTTGTTGAGTTTACTTCGGAAAAAAAGTTAATATTTTTAGTTTTATTTTTTTTAGTTTTATTTTTCCCGCTGGCTCAATGCTAAGGGAATGAAATGAATAGGAAAATAATTTAAATAAGGAAAGGAGAGGAATCTCGGTGCCTGAACGGGGGATTCAGGCATCCTTTTATAACTATCACTTCTTCTTCTTCTTCTTCCTTATTTTATTTATTTATTTATTATATATTATTTTCTATTCCCCCCCCCCTCTTGAAAGCTCTTTTCTTTGTCGCAGGCCTCAAATTACATCCCACTCTTTCATACTTTCCTCCGCTCATTACAGGGTTAAGATAAATATATATGTATATATTGAAAAATATAAGAAGAGCACGATGTCCCTCTCTTCAGCATATCATCCCTACAATCAACCATAAAACATTTGGACTCTTGCTAGTGGTGTCTCCTCTTACATTGTTGCTTTCACCTGAAAATATGATATCTGCTGGATAGGGCGTCAACTCTGTCAGATACTTTTTCTATGCCGGCAACACAGTCAGTTCAAGTCGCAAAAGCACTCTAGTCGCCCTGGCCTATGCAACAGCTAGAGATGGTTCTCATTCAGTTAGCCCTTCTCAGCTACTTGCAAGTCTTTGAAAGTGTGGTTCTGTCTTCATAAATTCTTGGGCATAGATCCTCTATATTGTCTAGTGCTAACTTGACCATGAATCAGATCTGACATGCATGATACTACCACTGTCAAGGGAAAACATGCCAATGATCCCAGAGGCTGGCATGGCACCTTCACCTTCAAAGCTTACATCAGATGGAGCGGGAATTCCATGCGGCATCGCATGAATGACTTCGTCCTAAATTAAACAACATATACTCCAGAAGGAAAAGGCAAAGCTCCTCGGGGTGGAAGAGGATATGAAAAGGTTGTTTGGCCAGCTAAGGACCTTCTTGAAGAATATGTGGAGAGATTCATTGGTTACTCACACCCAACTACCTGAGCAGAATTAAGAGCCAGGAAGAGGGCAATGAGCATTGGGGGGGGATTTATACATTTCAAATTGGGCACTGACCCGCGAGGTAACCTGACAGATAATAAAGTGGGAAGAATCAACAAATTAACAGAGAAAAATGAGCTTAATAGTAAGGGATTTAAAATTGTGGATATTGCATGACTCAAGAGAAAGGACTCCGACCTGGGAACGTCTGCATCACTAGAAACCTAGTTCAATAGCCTAGAGGCCACAGAATGGGCGATAAATAATGACACGATCTTTGGACATAGATACCTAGGAAGCATTGAGTCGTACCGGATCAAGAAGAAGAGTGCTACAGATGCTAAACATTCGGCCACCTACCATGGAGTCGCAAGGAGGCACTTCGATGCGGAATCTGCACCGGCGAACATGACATGATCAACTGTCCGCCTGAAGCAAGACCTTTATGAATTTATGGACTGCAACGGCTACCACCAGACAGGAACGAAAGAATGCAGAATCAAAATCAAATGCCATCAATATTTAATGACATCACAAACACTACGCATACTACAACTGAATACAACGAGAAGGAGAGCCATTATGGAAGCCCTCATCAGTGACCCTAAGACATGGAGCTCGACATGCTATTCATACAGGAAGCGCCCTATACCTTCTACAAGATGCCAGTCCTACATCCTCAATGGAGAATATTCAAAACAATAAACACAGATACCGAGGTCAAGAAGCGCAGCCTGATATATACATCAACAAATGAATCTCCACTTCAGCCTACAGACAAGTGCAATGCGACAGCCCGCACGCTACTGAAATCCAAATCCAAACAGAATCTGATCCGATCCTGATCAGATCCGCATAGAAGCATCTCGCAGCAGAAACGGGATGGATTCAGCCCTGGACATGATAAACAGCTACAGACATTGAGAAATAAAGTCGTGATCAGAGGGGATTTCAACCATCATCACCAGCTATGGGGTGGGATCAACATCAGTCAGAGGTGGTTAAGGGACGCTGATGAACTGCTGAGCTTCATGCAAACACATCACCTCCAAAGCTGCCTCCCAACTGGAGTATCCACTCGCTGGTCGAGTGGCTGGGTCGGGGTTCGATTGACGCTGGACCTGACACTTAGCGACATCCAGCAACAACTCCCCCAAGTGTCATCTCTACCCTGACAACAACGGATCTGACCACAGAGACATCTACTCAGAATGGAACCTTCATCTAGAGAACAAAAGTAAAAACAAACCACACAGGCTATACAAACAAACCAGACTGGGGAAAAGTAGGCGAAGCAATCAGCAAAGCATTGTGGCCCATATCAATGATTGAGTCAGAATGTGAACTAGAAGGGTAGATATCCTCATTGACACTTACAATAACAGAAATAAACAAACACACCCCTATCGCTAAACCATGCTCATACTACAAATGGTGGTTCACACCAGATCTAAAAGCAAACCAAGCAGAGTGTAACTGGAGCTGAAGTGATATCAGGCTAGCTGCGCAACCCAAGGCAAGGATCACTCAATCACTAAAGACCTATAACTACACAAGCATGAAAATCAACCGCAGGGAGTGGACCCAACAGATTGAAAAAGTCAAAAAAGACCACTGGAAAGACTTCCTAGACCAATCTACCTCAGGCAATCACCTTGAAAGGCGGCAAGGAATATCGATATCGATCTCACAGACAAATTATACCCACATTCCCCCCTCTCACTGTTGATGTCACAGAGTACATAAACAACAAGGACAAAGAAAGCAAAGGCCCTCTTCAACAACTTCTTCTCGCGAACTCCGGTCCCTCCAGTAGAACACTCGGCACCCGCCCGAGAGGAGTGATTATGGGAATCAGTAACAGAAGAAGATATTCTCAAAGTGTTGTCAGCCAACAATAGCAGAACCGCACTGGGTGTTAATGGTCTCCTCACATCGGTCTGGAAAACTTTGTGGAAATATGTATCAAGAATTGTCCTTCACATATTTGAAACGTCTATAAACCTAGGACACTATCCAAAATGATGGAAGACGGTGAACATCATCGTACTGCGAAAACCCGGAAAAGAAGACTGTACAGTACCAGGAACGTATCCCCTAATCCACACTTGGTAAAATCCTAGAGAAAGTAATGGCAAGACGCCTGGCCTTCTACACGGAGATATATACTCTACAGTTTGGTGGCAGGCCAGATAGATCTACGGAACAAGCCCTCCTGATTCTGGCCAGTGCCATAGATAAAGCCTGGAAACGGGACTGGATCTTGACACTGATCTCATTCAACCTTAAAGGAGCTTTCAACGGGGTAAACGCGAGCACCCTGGACGCTCGCCTCAGAGAGAAGGGCATTCCTCAAATAGCCCGCCAATGGATCCGCAGCTTCATGGAAGACAGATCATCCTGCATCTAATTTGATGACTTCAGTACTGACATCCCTCTTGTCCATGCTGGCCTTGCCCAAGGTTCCCCTATCTCGCTGATCCCATTCATGATCTTTAACTCCGACCTGGTGAATCAATCAGTAGATAACCATCAAGAAGCATCAGCATTCATCAATGATTACGTACGGTGGAGGACCGGACCAAGCGCTGAAGACAACCTGAAGAAGATACAAGAGAGAGACATGCCTCAAGTCAAAGAAAGGGTCAATCACACAGGTTCCTGTTTCACTGCAAAACAAGACAAAATTCATCCATTTCACAAGAAAGAAGTACGAACAACTGGTAAATAATGTTACAATGGAAGGATACGTGAAGCTGCTAGCACTAGCTGTGAAACTCCTAAGAGTGATGTTTGACCAAGATGAATATTGGAAGACCCACACTCTGTAACTAACTAGTTATGTGATTGGAAACGCAACCAAGAACATGCGTTGCAATAGAACAACTACGCTACCTGTGATCTGAACAAATGAGACAACTGTACATTGCCTGTTGTTCCCAAAACTGACTATTCATCCATGGTGTGGTATAATCTGACAAAACCCTCAACCTTACGAAAGTTCAATGAACAGCTGTAATAGAATCCTATCATTATTCAAAACCGTAGCCACTCATACCCTGGAAGTCGAGGCCCACATGCCCCCCCAACAAATCTCAGAGTGCGAAAACGGGCTCAGGAGGTCATCACAAACCTGCGAATCCTCCCTGGAACGAACGCACCCAAATCACAAAGTACTCCAAAGAGCCATGTTGAGCGCGACATGCTCTGGAAGAAGACGCATACCCCCTCGAGGACACAATGAGGATGATTAATGCGGGAGAGCTCGAACCCATAAGACCATCAACTCATGTCCCATTGAACCATGGCACACATCGATAATCGAGTCATCCACATCGACTCCGACAAGGATGAAACTATTGAAAGGACACTGAAGATGATAGAAAACCCCCTCCACCACAGTGTTTACAGATGCCTCAGTGACAAACTTGGGCATGGTAGTGGCAGCCATGATAGTCGACAAATAAAACTGCATTCATTACTATAAGCAAATAGGTATAGGCATCAAAGAGCACTGGACAGTCCTGACAGCGGATTTAATAGCAATCTACTATGCACTTTTCCTCGCATGGCAATCGCAACTCGGTGCCACAAGCCTCAAAGTCACTCGAGTTGAACCCCTACAACACCGCACCTACATCATTATAAGTGACTCGCGCTCCGCACTTTGAGAACATCAAGAATTCATCAAAACAGTCTGGACAACAAATAGTCTACAGCATTCTAGATACAACAAAAACAGATGAAAGAAACACTGCGAGTCAACATCTGAATGCAATGGGTGCCGGCCCACTGTGGTATCTTCGGAAATGAAGTCGCCGAACAGATTGCAAAACAGTCGATCAAGCCACACCGACATATCATTTTCAGAAACTGGGCGCTCCTTCTCAGGCGGAGTGACAGCCCCTTTGGAGGGTCATGCTTCGTGCCATCTTTGTCGAGTGATATTTTCCTCGTCGTCATTTGAATGAGCTCCCATGCGTTTCTCTGGTGCTATGGGTCTGTTATCGTGCTGGCCGATCCGGGATCCCGCCTTCGAGTAGAGGTCGAGGGCACTTGTCCCTCGAAACAGGGACGGTGACCCAGGTACACTCGAACAGAGACGGTGACCGTGGGTCCCGCTCTCTGAGCCCTTGCTGGCTGTCTGCGATGCTCCAGTTGACGGTCCACCTCCGCTTTCCCATCACTCGTTTAGATCCGGATGTCGAACAGTGAGACCAGCCTCGCACCAGAGATGAAGGACAGGAGGATACCTGCAGCCACATAGCGTTACTGTTTCTCATCAGCATAGGCCTTCGTACACCACGTCCAATTGGCATGAAGGATGCAGTGCACATCGTCCTTTGTGCCGGACGGCTTCCTCTTCAGTCGTCACTGGAGACCCCGTCTCTTGATCACGATGTTCCTATACTGTGTATGGCGCCAATCAGTTGGTGCCACATCGGTTGCTTCGATGGTCTTAGATTCAGACAGTCTTGTGCCATGTCATCGTCCATGCCATAACCAGTGTGCTTCACATACAGGGTCTTCAGGAGCCACCAGTAACTGTCGAAGGCCGAAGCTTCCTTGGTGCTATTCCGGTGGTTGCTCTCAAGCCAGTCAAAGTATGTCTTGACTAGGCTCGCTGTCAGATTCTTGATGAACTCCACTTCTGTGGTCTTGAGTTTGGTAGAGCAGAAGCTGGTCTCTCTGTAAGAAGTTCATATTTCATTTTCTTAAACAGATATCACCACTTCCCAATGAAGCTTCTACCAGACTGTCTCTCTGCCTTCTCAGCGTTTGCAGAGTAAACTCTGTGTGTGCGATCAGCGGCCTCATGTCATTCCAATGTGACTCTGTAGTTCAGCTTTCTGGGAGAGTGTTGTCAACCTGCGGTGTGTAATCTGGTAGCTTTTGGCACTTTCCAAGGGCGTATGAGACTGTCGTAGGTAGATAGGAAAGAGATTCTGGAGAGGAAGACCGGAGTAGACCAGCTGTCTGCCGGGAAATGGGGCGGAGAGAAGAGGGGAAGGGGGGGGGGGGTATATGATGGTATTTAAAGAATGGGGCAGCCATAACCATCATATTTGGAAGGTTGAGCGCCAGAAACAGTGCGCCCCAGCTGGGCGAATGGGCGAATAAATGACTGAGACAGGGTGAGCGATTCGCGAGCAGTCGCGCGCAGTCGCGCGAGCAGAAGATGAGGCCATGGATGTGACCGAGGGCGTAAATGGGCTTCCAAAAAGCGGCGATTTATGGCTTCTAGTTGGGTATATTGTTGATCAGTGTGGGTGCAAATCCGCGGTGCACGAGCGGTCGAGAGCAGCCCAAACGCCTTCTTCCACTTTCGGCCTTCATGGCCCTCAAAGATCGACTCTGCGTGTTATTTTCGTCTCTCTAAATTTTCGCGGGGCAGATCAAACTGGAGTTGTGATGACAAGTGACACCAATCCTGGCAAAACGATATCAACCCCAAGCAACTTGTATCAGAATTGACAGACGGCGTTCCATGGCTCACTATCCTGCGAAGTAGTGTGGTGTTAAGATATCAGAGTCGCATTAGTCAGTTCTATGAACTCATGAATTTGTAAACAAGTTGAAATCATTGATTTGCAGGAAGATAGAACCACAAGGTACCGTTTGGGGGGGGTGGGGGGGGGGGGGGGGGGGAAA